CTTGTGTCAAACTTGTTTTGTTATATATGATTGTCTTGATTTACCTTTTGTACAGTGCTGCAAAATATGCTGGCACTATGCAAATAATAGTAATTTGCAGATGAAATCTCTCAACATTACAAAACCAACCAGCAGGCCATCGTAAATGTGCATCCCCTTTATACCAAGTTTTACTTCAAGCTCATTAATAACCATGTACATGTCATTGTTACTGTGGGAGATACCACCATTCTTACTGTTTTACAGCGGCAATAAGGATTATAATACTCAACTGGCTCTCTGTGTTCCCCTTCCCTCCATGTGGTTTCAGCAAGTGCCTCGCTACCCCATCCCATTTCGTATACCGAGCCAGAACACCTCAGACTGTTCAGTGGGACTTGTCTACGTATCTCCTGGAACTCCGGCTCTACCACAAATATCACTGGTCACCTTGCAACCCTAGTTTTCACCCCCTTCCCAACTTTCAATGAGAGCGCTATTTTGGAGGGCAGCAGCTGTCCATCAAGGGGAACAATCACCACCTGTGAGCCCTCCTGCCATGATCCGACAGAGACCCCATTAAAACATTGATAAATAACTGTTTTAGACGAAAACTGTTCCAGGCGTAAATTGTTCCAGTTGCCGGGGTTTAATGGTTACGTTCCCATACTTTAATGGGGTTACGTTCCCATACACCTCCACAGATCAGGGCGCTATTTTGTCAGATTGGATGCTCTCAAGGGCTATCCGGGGAGGTAGGACATGTAAGGATTCAAGACTGTTTGTTTATATATATATATATATATATATATATATATATATATTGTGAGCGTAAAGGTGGAATAGTGGTTGATGGGAGATACATCAGACCTGATTTGCTAAACAGCAACCAGAGGATTTTCGGTTAAATGCCCCAGGGAGAGAGGTTAAAGTTTGCAATATGCATAGCTGATGCTCTGCAAAACATGGTATGGGTCCCTGGGGCGGAGTATTTGGAGAGCAGGGTGGGCCAATGCTCCAACAGCACTAGTTGCTGTATAACAGACCACAGCTTGGATCTGATTTTAAGAGTTAACTAATTGGCACTCACCTGTAGCTACTCAATTAGTAGACAGGCCTTTAAAAGAAGAGAGCAGCCTGCTGCAGAGTGAGGGAGGAAAAGACAGCTAGGAGAGTGAAAGACAAGTGTGTTTATTGCAAAGCCATTTCTTTTGTTTGGAAAATTGGTAAGTGGGAAAGCCACCCAATTGCAGATAGTAATTCATGTCTAGTAAGAGCTCAAGTAAGAGCAAGGGATTTTGTTTGTTTTTGTTATTATTTAAGCACCTGTTTCTTACTGAATAAAAAGGAAAACTGAGCTGAATGTGTCCTGGACTTGTATACCCTAGAAGGCTGTGGTTACTGCAAGATCTGTGACAATCCTACCTGTAAAAGAGGTGGTTTGTTACAATATATATTTTTTATTTTTATTTTTTTTGTGTTAGGCTCTCTGTATCTGAGAGATAATTGGTTTAGCTAAAGTTGACTAAATTATCTCCCAGACACAAAGGCGCCTGGGCGGGATTTGTAAGTTATGAATGGAGACCCCATGCTGGGGGTCTGGGCAATAAAGGCTGCATTCTCTACAATAAAATCAGTTGTTCTTCCCAGCATCATGTGTCGTCTGGGGAATGGAGTTATAATCACTGAAGGGTTCATGTTACAGCTGAGAGTAGAATCTAGGGGAGGTGTCCAGTCTGGATACCTGGGGTTCCGCTACAGTTACAAAAATTTATTTTAAAAACTACATATGGTTACTTTCACAATCTCAAAAAGCAGACACCTTCTAAAGTTAGTTCCACAAGTCATTGTCTATGATGACAAAGTACATGAGACACATTGATGGTAATATAAATCGTTGTTGTACTAGCTATACTAATAGATTTGTAAGACAACCATTTCCATACCTTCAAAGCAAAGACATTTTATAGGGACTTATATTAAATGGCTACTCCATCCATTCAGTGCCAAGGCCAAGTTTTCCCTGCCTCTAGCTTCTACACAGCTGATGTCACTCCCCCTTGCTGTAGGGGGACGAAAGTCACGGAGGGCGGACCAAAGAGGGGACCTAAGCAACAAGAATGGGGGGAAGACAGTTGTGCCTTCATTGTCTGTCAATGCCAGCATGCGGTCATCAAACATTCAGTATGCGCATGTACTGGAGTCACATTAGCTAGGCCGGCTAATGACGTGCAATTGACATGGCTGGAGGTAAAGCTACACAGCAGAGGAGTTAAACTCTTTAAAATAGGTGGTTATGGTGCTTGGAGTAACTATTTAAATAATAATAAAAGGGATTTGTCTAGTCATGGTTTTTATATACACATAAAACAAGGTGTAAAAAATACACATATATACACACAGACACAAAGATACACACCATGACACATGCACGCACACACTCAGTGACACATACACAAACCTTGACACATAAACACACCGTACACACACTGGCACATACAAACACACATCTTGACACACAGATACACACACTCAGATACACACAATGACACACAAACCTTAACCCACAGATACACACAACGACACACACACACACCTTGACATACAGATAAACACACTCAGATACAGATATTGGCACACAGATGCACCCTGTAAATACGTGGCGAATACATACATACACCTTGATACACACATACTCAGATACACACAGTTACACATACAAACACTTGCACCCACAGATACACACACCTTGAGACAGAGTTACACACGGTCACATACACACACATATACTCATTGGCACATGAAAACACACTGGCACATACACACAAATACAATCTGACATACATCAGAGCCAGCCTCCTGTTAAACTTATCTTGTGGTCCTGTTGATGTTGGCTGAGGCTGGAGGGAGTGAGCTGCTGCATGCTCACTCCAGCCTCTCCTCTGCCATGTATGCTGCTCCATTTCTGTGCTGCAGTCTCCAGCCTTCTTTTCCCTCCCTACTGCGCAGCAGCAACTCTGTAAAGCTGGGAGGAAGTGCTGTCCCTTTCTCCCAGCCGGCTGATAATACAGGAGCCCAGTCGTGCTCATAAAGGGCCGCAGCACCCGACCGGGATCCTGTTAGGCTATCAAAACGGTTGTGGCCATTTTGTTTAGCGAAATTACGTCTTAACGCCAATTGGGAAACGCTGGATTAGACACAGACCGTTTTCTTAAGTTAGTCGTAGTCTTTGTGGCAAGCAAGGTATTTGAGTCCACTACTACACTGGTTCTTGGAGTGTCATCTATGCCAAGTGGATAAGAGGCTTTGCCACCCAAGATTTAAAACAAGAATTTTTTATTAATTTTGCAGAGAAATTATGGCTCTTATTGTAACATGTTCCAAACATTTAATGATATTAACAAATCTGTCAGCCCTAATGTCGTTATGTAAAAATTTCAAGGCCCAATGACTTCTGTTATTTTATCAATTTGTGTTACTCATCAAGTGATTGAAATGTATTTCACAAACCTCTGTAGTGTGAATGTGTTAAGTATTCTTGACTCTGAATGTGCAACCTACACCCATATTCTTTTCATCGCTCTGCCATTCTTGCATTGATATATTATTTAAATTGAATTACGAAAGATTGATTTATGCAGGCAACTGCATGTTTCGTTCCTCCTAGGGATTTACAGTTGTTTCTCTGTATTTAGTATTAAAGGACCACTATAGGCACCCAGACCACTTCAGTGAAGTGGTCTGGGTGCCAGGTCACTCTAGTTTTAACCCTGCAGCTGAAAACCTAGCAACTGCTATGTTTCACTGAGGGTTAATCCAGCCTCTAGTGGCTGTCTCGCTGACAGCCGCTAGAGGCGCTCCCGCAATTCTCACTGTGAAAATCACAGTGAGAAGACGATAAACGTCCATAGGAAAGCATTGAGTAATGCTTTCCTATGGCCAGTTTGAATGCGCGCGCGGCTCTTGCCGTGCATGCGCATTCGTAGCGGACGTCGGCATTGGGAGGAGAGTTTTCCAGAGCCGAGGGAGCACGGCGCTGGAGAAAGGTAAGTGACTGAGGGTGAGGGGGACCTAATGACCCTATAGTGCCATGAAAACGAGTTAAAGGGACACTATAGTCACCAGAATAACAACAGCTTAATGTAGTTGTTCTGGTGAGTATAATGGCTCCCGTCAGGCATTTTTATTTAAACACTGCCTTTTCAGAGAAAAGGGCAGTGTTTACATTGCCCCTTAGGGACACCTCCAAGTGGCCACTCCTTAGATGACCACTGGAGGAGCTTCCTGACTCAGGGCTGCACAGTAAGCAGCCCTGCCGTTCAGTGTCCCCAAGCTCTGCATGGAGATGCTGAATTTTCCTAATAGAGATGCATTCAATGCATCTCTATGAGGAGGTCCTGATTGGCTAAAACTGCTTTTGGCCCCACCCCTTTGCCAATTTTAGCCAATCATATGCTTGCACTATGAGAAAACATTGGATTTTCCAAAAATCTGCCATTTTGATGTCACAAAGGGGGTGGAGCCAGCGCCAGAGGACTGGAAATAAGGTAAGTTTTAAACTTTTATAGGAGGTCGGGGGAGGGGGGGGGGGGGGTAATCCTCCTAAATGGTGGGTTTAGCACTATAGGGTCAGGAATACATGTTTGTGTTCCTGCCCTATAGTGATGCTTTAATATAAATACATTCTTATAGGCTTTGTTGTGTCACATAAAGAAATTGAATTTTTCTGTATAGTCTGTTGGTGATAAGGCAAACGGATCGGTCATGGCTTTGGTCTTTATTATTTAGCTTTCTTAAATGTACAAGTTAATGTGACCTTTACATTTTCATTAATCCTATGTCTATCTTACAGGTACTATCAAAGTCTGTCCATTCAGAAATACCTGGCCAGATGCAGACCGTGAATTTCCCAATTCTCTGAACCCAGAGGGCACCTCTCCTTAGCCCACAAAGCAAGCTCACGTTGTAGTCTCCTGGCCAGGCTTAGCCGAGGCACTTAAGAAGTAGACACTGTTCCAGAGATGGGCATTGGTAGGAACCCGTCATCTAAGGCAATGGAATCCACCAACTCAACAGATGGGAAATATGAAGAGGAATCCAAGCACACCACCTTCTTTACCATGCCAGTAAGTACTCTGGTCTTTGTTAGAGTAAGAATTTAACAGAGTTATGCACTAAATTAAGAATTAAAAATGATAATGGTAGCCTGATAAAAAAAATAAAATAAAAAAAATCCCCTAAAAATCCATATAGTATATTTTTTTTGGTCCCACTTCCTTAAGGGAGAGTTGTACTGAATAAATTAATCCTGAGAATTGTCTCACAACTAATACAGCACATGTAAACTACGTGCACAAAATCAGTCGCTAGCATTAAAAATGGGCTAATCCGAAAAGATATGACAAAAGGAAATCTATGAAGTTTTATGCAAGTGAACTTGTCAGAGCACAAGCCATAGTTTCTAGAATTTTGTTGTTACATCTTCTTGTTAATCCATGTGCTCTTGACATAATTTCTGATGTTTTTTGTCCTTAGAGAATTGCAACTGTATAGTTAGTTCATAAATTAGAATAACTTTGGACATTAGGTTAAAGGACCACTATAGGCACCCAGACCACTTCAACTTAATGAAGTGGTCTGGGTGCCTGGTCCAGCTAGGTTTAACCCTTTTTTTCTATAAACATAGCAGTTTCAGAGAAACTGCTATGTTTATAAATGGGTTAATCCAGCCTTTAGTGGCTGTCTCATTAACAGCCGCTAGAGGGCTTCCGCATTTCTCACTGTGATTTTCACCGTGAGAAGTCGCCAGCGTCCATAGGAAAGCATTGTGAATGCTTTCCTATGGACTGGCTGAATGCGCACGCGGCTCCTGCCGCGCATGCGCATTCAGCCGGAGAGGAGGAGGAGAGCTCTCCGCACGGCACTGGAGAAATAGGTAAGTTTAACCCCTTCCTCCCCCTTCAGCGCCACGGGAGTGGGACCCTGAGGTTGGGGGGACCCTCAGGGCACTATAGTGCCAGGAAAAAGAGTATGTTTTCCTGGCACTATAGTGGTCCTTTAAAGAAAAAAAAAAAAAAACTAATAACATGTAATAGGCCAGGTTTACCCAATCACTGTAACTGAAATATTTTTATGTACAATACCTTCTTTTTTAAATTTATTTATAAATATTAGTGGAATTTGCACAATTTAAAACAAACAAAGAAAGAACAATCACACAGAAGGAAAACCTGCAGTCAAACTCCAACTACTAGGCGGCAGCAATGGCTACTGTGTGCATCAGCACAAATGCAAAGATAGAACAATGCCAATCAGTGCTATTTTATAGGCTGTATAAGTAGCAACATTTATAATTGTATATTTTGTAAAGTAAAATAATTTATTATTCTGAAACGTTGCTAAAAATCCTTGCTTTAGCTATAATAAAAGGACTAAGACTAAGTATTTCAGGATGTTAGTGAAGTAAAAACGTCTTTCATATATTGGTAATTACACTGGAATTATTTTGATGAAAGTAGCTAAGTAACTTCCCAGGGTGTCTAACACAAGGCTTCTGAATAGTGATGTCCCGAACGGTTCGCCACAGACTCATCATTGAGTAAACTTTGACCCTGTACCTCACAGTCAGCAGACACATTCCAGCCAATCAGCAGCAGACCCTCCCTCCCAGACCTCCCACCTCCTGGACAGCATCCATTTTGAAGCTGCATTCTTAGTGAGCTGTCCAGGAGGTGGGAGGGTCTGGGAGGGAGGGTCTGCTGCTGATTGGCTGGAATGTGTCTGCTGACTGTGAGGTACAGGGTCAAAGTTTACTCAATGATGAGTCCGCGGCGAACCGTTCGGGTCATCACTACTTCTGAACCTATTTGGAACTTGGGTCCTAGATTATATGAGTGTTTCTTTTATACACCAAAAAGTGAAGCCCAATTTTCTGCAAATTGCAATACACAAACAGGTCTGCAGTGCTCTCCACATGTGTGGGTGACCCCATCCTAGTAACTTATGCATCATCATTGATATGCTGCCTCCTTCATTGCCCATTATTAGATAAGGAGATTCCGATGGGAAAGGCTGGTGCTGTTAATAGAGGGTGGAATTATTGCTAATTAGATTTAAAGGAACACTACAGTCACCAAAACCACTTTAGCTTATTGAAGAAGGCTTTGTGTATAGATCATGATTCTGAAGTTTCACTGCACAATTCACTGCCACTTTGGAGTTTAATCACTTTTGTTTCTGTTTATGCAGCCCTAGCCACACCTCACCTGACTTTGACTGCACAGCCTGCATGAAAACAAAATGGTTTCATTTCAGATGTAGCTTACTTTAAATGGTTTTATCTCCTGCTCTGTAAATTGAACTTTAATTACATACAGGAGGTTCCTGCATGGTTTAAAATTGTTCTAAATGAAACAGAATGTGCAATAAAGTAAGAGTAAAAATTAGACGGCTCTTTACAGGAAGTGTTTAGGAGGGCTGTGTAAGTCATATGCAGGGAGATGTGCCTAGGGCAACATAAACAACGTGATTTAACTCCTATAAAGGTGAATTGAGCAGTGAGACTGCAAGGGCATGATCTATACACCAAACTTGCTTTATTGAGCTGAAGTTGTCTTGGTGACTATATGGTCCCTTTAACATTTATATTCATAAAACCCTTATTACCTCATGTCTGCATCCTTTGAATGCTTCATTTAAACTTAAATTCCATCTCCTGTGAGGCTGTCAGCACTCACATAAGATATTCAGCAGATGAGTATTTCCTTGCTTGAAAATCTCTGAAATGTATTTGTTTACATTCTGTTGCGAGTTAATATTGCTTCTGTCTGTTTCAACAAAAGAAGAGGGGTACTATTACATTGTTATACTTTTCTGCGAACACAAAAAAAAGCTTGGTAAATGTTCCAATGTTGCTCTTTTATATGTACTTAAACCTTGAAAAGGTTCACTATGTGTTAGGTCAAAGCGATAAAACCGTAGCAGTGACAAACTAATCTTTGAAAGGGCCTACAATATTTTACAGGCATAGTAAAACACAGGAATGATCATTACATCATATGCATTCATTATATCTGGAGTAAATTATTCCAACTTTGATAAATTATGTTTTAATTGTGTGTTTGTATGTGTGTGTGTATATATATAAAATTTCTTTTTAACCTGTGTTGGAGCAGACATCCTTATTCTTTTTGGCTGTGCAGACAGCAATGCAAAGCTGTGTCAAGGCAATGGAATATTCTGCCAACCAAAAGATAACGAATCCTGCGCATCCAGTATAGGTGTGCACACCTATACAGGATGCGCAGGACTCGTGTTTGTTTTTTGGTTGTATATTCACTGTTGGGACTTCAGTGTGGAGGATCTGCAGCACAGGTCTAACTTTTTTTTTTCTTTGTTTATATTTTGAATTTTGTAGGCTTTTTGTTGCCTCTACCCCACCCTATATATAGAGAATATTCTGCCAAACTAGACCTTAAATACATTAATTGTGAGAAAACTGGAAGACGTCACTCAGTTATATGAACGTAATTGTAAAGATATTTAATTCCAAGAAGATGTAATTCTGCACCAGAATATTTTAAATTATAATTTATTTATACTGTGCCACATAAAGCTGCTTCACAAGATTGAATTTAATAGTTTGAGATCCTTTACCAAAAGCTCTTTTAGTTGCTGAGATGGAGAGACATTTATACTTATTCTTTGCAAGTACAACAGTCTGTAACGGACATGGGCTGGGGGTAAAAAGCGCGAGTCGGAGCACAGGGCAACCCTTTCCTGGCTGTCGCTTCTGTAGTGTGTGACCAGACAGTACTACGATCGAGTAACTGCCTTTTGCTCTCCTGTGCAGAAAACACACTCTTAACAGCTGTCTCTGGGCATTGCTTATAGCTCCACAGACTCTTGTGACACTCAACTCCCGCCCCTGCCTACATAACATTTTAGGAGGTGACATTACAGTCATCACATCCTGTTGGCTTCATCCTTAATGGCCACCTTATATTTTTTCTTTTATGTACATATAGCCCAGTCTGAGGTGAGACAAGAGAAATTGTGTGGCACGTTTGGGAAAGATGATGGTGGACAGGTGGCAGTCTGATGAGACTAGAAAATTTAGGTGTCAGGCCTAAGATTCGGGCCATAAGTTACCATGTTAAAGGAGTTTAAGGTGGTTGTGCAGCAGCGGTGGGGATTAAAAGGCTATGTAGGAAACTGGACTGAAATCATGAAGTTTTGGTTGGGAGGTATTGGTTATATTACGGTGCAGACTGTGGGTTTAGAACATTATACAGCAGGCTAGAGAATGTTTAGAGAAAGTCTAGACAGTTGATGGTCTCATTTGTAGGAGCAACATTTTCTTTTTTTTTTTTTTCTATTTTGTTTTATTTATTTTTTTAATTTGGGAGAGGATGTCAACTGACAATTCTACTCTGGGTGCTAATTATGCCTCTGACGTTACTCGTCATAAAAATGCTACTAGAATTATCTGTTAAACCCATCAGGCAAACAATTGGATTGTGAAAAAACATTTCTATCATTTCTGTTTTCTTTTCAATTTACATTAAATATTTAGGAAACTACATCCCACACTACTTCAGTCCAGGCACCTAAACACTTGAAAACCTGTGCTATTTAAATGTGGATATGAGATAATGTGCAGTTAACTTTTTTATGCAAGGTTGAATAAAGGGTCAAAGGGTCAAAAACACTTGGATCAATGCTTCCCTATGGGGAAAAATCTGATGCTGGACATCCTTCTGCAGAGCGTGAGAACGACCAGCATCGGATACTAGACCAAAGGTCCGTTTGGATGCAGGAAGCCCTCTAGTGGCTGTCTGGTAGACAGCCACTGTGGGCTGGCTTAGAGAGGCAAGGTAAACATTGCAGTTTCTCTGGTACTGCAAATGTGTCCATTTTAAGCTCTGTATATGTGTGCATTACTGCAATTTTGAGATTTCCGTGGGAAAAGTAAGTCTAGCTTAACTGGCATGTGGAGATCTGTGTTCAACAATGTATTGACTATTTTGTGTGTGTGTGTATGTATATGTGTGTGTGTATATATATATATATATATATATATATATGTGTGTGTGTATGTATATATATATATATATATATATATATATATATATATATATATATATATATATATATATATATATAATATAGGGATCGACCGGTGTTTTCGTCAATATCGGTATCGGCCTATAGAGATACCGATATTGCCGATAATACATACCAGGACCGCCGGGCCCATTGACAAGCCTGGCGGTCCCGGAGGGCCCACAGCAAGCTCCTACTTACCTTCCCAGCAGCTCCCTTCAGCTCCCCTGTCTAATTCTCGCAGCCAGCGTGCCACTCAGAGGCTTGCCATTGAAACCCGTGGCAATGCTCTGACGGCTGTTGGACCCGCGAGATGTAGACAGGGGAGCTGAAGGGAGCTGCTGGGAAGGTAAATAAGAGCTTGCTGTGGGCCCTCCAGGACCGCCGGGCTTGTCATGGGTCTGATGGTCCTAGTCTGCATTATCGGCAATATCGGAATCTCTATAGGCCGATACCAATATTGCCTAAAATACCAAATTTAATTTTTTTTTTAAAATAAATAAACAAATAAATAAATATATATATATATATATATATATATATATATATATATTTATATTCTGTCTACTAAAAGCTTCTTTTCTTAGAATGTAGTACCTGCTGAGCATCAGGATATAATTGTGTTTTCTTCTATTTTTAATAGCATTTTTAATTCTCTCTAGTGTGCCCTAGATGTATTTCGGTTATCTAAATGTCTGGTTACTATAGAAACCTCTTCATTTCTGCTCTCTTCCAGAAGCCTTAATCGAAGTTTTGGGGAAATATCAAACCCACAGATTTCTACTCCTGTTACCTCAGAATGAGAGTTTTATAAAAACTGCCATCAAATTCTAAAAGCATTGTTTTTAGACAATACAGATAAAGTACCATCATTATTATTATTATTATTATTATTATTTTTCTTTCTTTTTTTTTTTTTTTTTTTAAAGCAGCAGCATGTTTGTAATAAAGATGAGCAGCGCTCATGAATTTTCAAAAACAAAGGAGAAAATTTAAAAATTGTCTTATCTTACAAAGGATGAGCTATACCAGACTGCAGCATTGGTAGTATTAAGAACTTTGGGATTTTTTTCTCACCATGCCTCAATCAGTAGCCACTATACACTATTAACAAAGCCTAAAGGAAACCAAATTGTCTGGTTTTAATTTATTCCTTTTGCGCAATGATTGCCTGTGCTGGACTTCTTTTCATCCCTTTCTCTGAATAGTTACTTCCTATATGTTCACACTCACACACATCATGATCTGCCTGTTATTTTAAATTGATGGACTATGTTTTCAAATCTTATAACGTAACTTGACACTCATTTGTGGGACCTAATCTCATTGCAATACTAGCACAACAGGGGTTTGTGGCTTTTGTCACTCTCCTCTTTCATATGCTGGGCGTGAGGGTGCTGAAAGAATTTGTGTCTCACTCACCTCTGCATGTCTGTAAAGCAAAAGAGTGTCATCCATATAGGAGCCAAGTTGTAGTCACATTTCAGGTTTCTGAAAAGAATGAAAAATTGGAAAGTGTAATAATAGATCCCTTACAGATTGAAATTTGTTGTTTGAGGAACATGCACTGTAACTTTTACTTTCCCATTAAATTTGTCATGGCTGGTATTATAAATAAAAGTACAATTTATTAAGGCAATAATTACAAAGTGAATGCACATTTACTTTATTTTTTCATGTCTGTAAGGAAATAAGAAAGAAAACAAAATAGGTAACTAGAAATAATGATAAAACAAAAGAAAATTGCCTAATCTAGACTAGTGGTTGCCAACCATTTCAATAAGAGAAAGATGTCCTGGTAAGACCTACTTTCCTTTTAAATGTCAAATTTACAAAAAAAGGAGATGCCCAATTGACTTGGTGGTTTTAATATGAGAGAGGAATTTCACTCTTTTTTTCTTTGTCAATTGTATGGTTTTAGTAAAGGGATTCTATAGTGCCAGGAAAACAGACGTTTCCCTGGCACTATAGGTTCCTACAGTGGCTTCTTCCTTTGCACTCCCCCCCCTCCCACGGCGCTGAAGAGGTTAAAACCCCTTCAGTCACTTAACTGAATCCAATGCTGAGGGTCAGGCTCTGCCCACGCTGCTGTAGCCAGCAATAGCAATAGCTGCACTCTCATTAGGATCTGGTTATTATTCAATGCTTTCCTATGGGGATTCTGGTGACGCTGGAAGTCCTCATACATAGCGTGAGGATGTCCAGCATCATTTAGACGACCAAAAATCGTCTAAGCAACTGGAAGTCCTTCTAGTGGCTGTCTAGTGGACAGCCACTAGAGGTGGAGTTAACCCTGAGAGGTAATTATTGCATTTTCTCAGAAACTGCAATAATTACTAGTGAAGGGTTAAGGGACGTGGGACATTGCACCCAGACCACTTCAGTGAGCTCCAGTGTCCCTTTAAGTTTACAAAAGCACAAAGGTACAAGCATGTGCAAAAATCATGTCCCACAATTTATACTTGCATGTGTGTTTCAAGAAATACACCTTTATACAAAACCAATTGCAAATTGCTGACACATAATAGGTCAAATATTCCACTCTGGCAAATGTGTATCTTACAAATAACAAAAAACTCACGAGACAGCAGAATTGTGTCAAGTGTGAAAATGAGACAATGGTAAATAATTTATGAAAATCCTGGTTCTTGCTTTCAAATCTCTACATAATGCTGCTCCCACCTATCTATCCTCCCTTATAGACAAAAGTATGTCCCGTCTAAGCCCTTACGATCTGCTGAAGACTTACGTCTATCTTCTGTTCATACTCCCACCTCTGATGCTCGCCTTCAAGATTTCTCGAGGGCTGCACCGTTCCTGTGGAACTCGCTTCCCTCCTCAGTTAGATGCTCACCCAGTCTCCACTCCTTCAAAAAATCGTTAAAAACCCACTTCTTCATAAAAGCGTATCAATTAAACTGTTAATAGCTCCTGACTGATTCCTCTTCTGCAACTGTCACTAGTCTAATACTATCCTTACCTTTTTGTGTAATTTTACCCCACTCCCTCTAGCATGTAAGCTCATTGAGCAGGGCCCTCAACCCCTCTGTTCCTGTGTGTCCAACTTGTCTGGTTACAACTACATGTCTGTACGTCCACCCATTGTAAAGCGCTGCGGAATTTGACGGCGCTCTATAAATATAATAATAATGAAGTAAAAACAAAAAGAAGGAAATTTAAACAATTTAAGGGGGTCATCCCTTCCTTAAAAGGATTCCCAGGATTATGTGCCCCACCATTGGCTGTTGAGAATTGGCATGCTTCAGTCAAACAACTAACAGAAGGAGCTAGAGCAGTACAAGTCCACCAATTGTGTTACATAGGGTCTACCACTGTGGCTGTCATTCATGCAGTCACTATAGGCATTTCCTGGATGCTAGAGGACTTTGAGACCCCTACCTGATGCTGGAAGTCTTCACGTTCTGCATGTGAACATCCAGCGTCGGTGAAATCCCCAAGGAAAGCATTGAAGCAGTGCTTTCCTATGGGGAGAACCTATTGCGCTCGCTGCGCATTTGTATTAGTCGCCCTCCCATTGGATGACGTCAGAGTAGGTAGAGTAGGTAGAAGTGTTGGGGTTGGGTAAGTAAATAAAAGTTGTGTTTTTGTTTTTTAACCATTTACATGCTGGGGAGTAGGGTGTTAAAGGAGGACCGACGACGACCAGAGGGGCACTATAGTGTTTGGAATACAACTTTGTATTCCTAACACTATAGAATGCCTTTAACTGTCGTAGACAAAATTAACTCAGTCCCATAAAAGGAACTGTGAAAATGTTGAAGGAGTTGAAGAATCACTGAATATTCATGAAATGTAATCTTTTCATGTAGTTTGCTGTTGCAGTGGTATTCGTTTCTACTTCTTCATATTTATTTATTTATTTATTTTTTAAACTGACCAAACTGCATTCTTAGGCTTAATCCCAAGTGTTCTGTGTTTTTTAATGTTTTAAAGCGTGCACCTTTAAGTCCCAAGTATTAATTTTGTTTGGTATTCCAGTCAAATGTAATAGCAGTGCTATTTTCATCACTTAAGTTTCAGTCTTTGAATCTCAAAACTTGTGGATATTGTTTATATTTAGATTGTCAAAAACTGTTTTTATCTTGGCCCTTTGGTTATCAATTTGACATAAAATTCACTTTTTGGTGTCGACGCAGCAGTTATTAAAAAATAAATAAATTGTCTTTAGATTGTTCAAGATGTTTTACAGCTAAACCCCGTAAGCAGTGTTCCTTACACTTCTGGGTACTTCAATAAATAGTTAAATTTCTTGAAGTGTTTCTTTGTTAGTGAATTTTCACTGAACGAAGTCCCTCACCACCAGGCTTGACTCACGCAGTGAGCTTCCAGCTAGATGGTAGAGTGGTGCGACAGGCACTCCTGATGACCTAAACACTACCGCTATAGTTAATTAGGTGCTATTTGAGATTTCATATTAATCTTCCAGTGGATGTAAAAGCCAATAAATTTAGAAGACTTTTTTAATTCCTTGTTTTTTTTCTGTTGGTACAATGTTTAGATTACACACTTGCTACAAAAATTGTAGGCAATGGATTTGTTTTAATTCTCTATTCTGTTTCTTTTTTTTTTTTTTTTTTTCACCAAAAGCAATGTCCATTGAAGTTGAATTCATGTGACATTGTCTGCTTACTCTAAACAAACGTCACTTATCTTTTGCATGAAACCTTCACCCCCTCATCTAAACAGATAAAGCTCAGATCAGCACGTCCTTTTCAATTTAAACTTAAAGGACCTCTAAAGGCACCCAGACCACTTCATCTCAATAAAGTGGTCTGTGTGCAGTGGCCATTTAGTTTTAACCCTACAATGTAAAACATTGCCTTTTGTAGAATTGGCAATGCTTACATTGCAGGGTTTAGCATACCTCTAGAGGCTGTCTTACTGATGGTCACTAGAGACGTTTTTCGCTGCCACAACAGAGTTTTACTTGGTCCTGTGACTTTCATTGTGGATGTCTGTCATCAAATGGTGTTCATAGGAAAGCATTGGGTTCAGTGTTTCTCAATAAAAAAAAGCATTTGATTGGACAAGCATGGTGCTAGCCACGAATGAGCATTTCATTCAAGTTGGGCGATGGCTGAATCTAACTAGGGACTAGAACATGTTTGTACTCCTCATGTATAGTATTCCTTTAAAGTGGCTGTCATCTCAAACTTGCCTTTCTCCAATTGTTTACTCTTTCTGAATCTATTATTTTCTTTAAAGTATGGACTACTTTAACTCATGTTCTACTCTTGACAAAGGGTGGAGCTCAAGCCAATCTCAATTTCCTTTATCAAGAATAATTTCCCCACAATACTCCAGTTTCCATCAATTTAATCCTCTGTAATATTGCAACCTTACAATATCACTTTGATAATATAGTTATGAAAAATATTGAAAATCTATATTCTACATTATTACCTGTTGATAACTGGTACTGACTCACCAAATCTAATATTTTCATAGACCTAATCCCTATAAATGGCCGTGAAAATATTTATGGCAAAAGTTGGGTTTAGCCGATAGAATAGAATTAAGGCCTTAATGTCTGCATGATGTCTGACCGTGGAACCATTTACCAAAATTGGATTGCTTCATTTAATCCTGACAATTAATAGTTTGTCAGTTAGTTGGCACTTGATTCAGAAAAGTTCCCAGATATAAGGTCATGGTACTGATCACTAGGGCTGGTAAACAACTTTACAGGAATTTATGCCAAACTCTGTTAATCCCCTACAGACAATGCTTGTATTAACTTAACCCACTGCAGTGTGTGTTTCTATTAATGATGCTTCTGTTAATGAAACTGGGTGAAAATTTCCATAAGGATGTGCAATCACATTTTGCCCAACCCTAACTAACGTACCTTACACTCAATCATAAACTTAAAATTAAAGAGAACTTGCCCTTTTCTGTATAGGTAACGTCTATCTCATCGCAACTCCACACTGTCTCCGGGAGACTATAGGTGAAGACATTTTCCTAAATGGCACATGCGTGGATGGTGCATGGCTAATAGAATGCTTTAATAGGGAAGGCCTCTTGCTGCAATGTAGTATAATCAGGGTTAAATACCTGCTAAAACCGAGAGACACAGGTATCGATTGATAACTGAGGATACGATCGATTACGCCCAATCACAGTGATTCTACGTCTGTTGAAGGGACACCACAAGGGTATCAGCTGTCCGGCACCAATCACCATATAATTGGCTGGGCATGCATGCTTCATTCTGTGTGTGTGTGTGTATATGTATGTATATGTGTGTGTGTGTGTGTGTATATGTATGTGTGTGTGTATATATATATATATATATATATATATATATATATATATATATATATATATATAGTGTGTGTCTGTGTGTGTGTATCTATACTTCAAAGAGATACTACATGATATGCATTTAGCTTTATGAAGCTGTTTTGGTGTACAGATCATGCCCCTGCTGGCAAAGTTCCATGCCATTTAGGAGTTAAAGTGGATCTTTCACCATCTGGGGCCTTTGCAGATTTTGGAAAGACACCCGACGAGACCACTGGGGGTCCAGTGGCCATGGAGAATGGACAGTTGAGATTTCCTAACCTGAACCTGCCCCTCATGGATGCCGTATCTATCTGCTGCTACTCTTCAGCTCCTGGGGCTTCAAATTCCAGAAACCGATGTCAGAACTGTAATCTCGTGCATGTGCAAGAGTGCAGCATTGAGGTCTATACGGAATATTGCAAGATTGCTGTAAATCACTTTTAATTCTGTTTATGCAGCCCTAGCTACACCACCTCCGTGACTGACAGAGCCTGCATAAATTATTATTTTTTTCAATCAGATTTGAATTCAATCAAATTTTTATCTCTTGCTTTTTAAATTGACCTTTAATCAGGCTCTAGCAGACTATTAACAGAGAGGAGATAAGAAATGCTACATTAAACAGAATTTGCAATAAAGGAAGTGTAAACATTAGATGACTGTTTAGAAGGAAGTGTTTAGGGAGGCTGCGTAAATCACATGCAGGTAATTGTGCCTAGGGTTGCATATACAAAATGATTGAAGTCATACATGGCAGATAATTGAGTAGTGAGACTGCAGGGTCATGATCTATACACCAAAACTGCTTTATTAAGCTAAAGTTTTTTTGACTATAGTGTCCCTTTAAAGAAAAATAGTTTAATGTTCCAAGTGAAATAATTTTGACAATTACAAATATCTTCCTTTTTGAACAATCAATTTGATACCATTTAGCAGAAAAGTTTTTCGGAATGCCGTTTTTTGTGCTATGCAATTATGCAACAGACTGAACTCTTACAGTTCAAAACTTGATAAAAGTGTACAGTTCAAAAGTGACCTTTTGCGCTGATCATGATTAGAAAGTGTACAATGAATGCCTTCTTTTCCTTTCATATCTGCTATGCTAATAATAATATTTTATTGGAAGGCAATGGTTTCGAACATCCTGAATGAATAACCAGAAGGTAATCCAGGCAATTTATTACATAACAATAGATGTCGTAAGATTGTAAACATAATAAAAAAAAAATTACACAAGTTCACACAAGGGTAAAATTCTTTGCATCTGGGTGTGTGAATCTTATCTCCTTCTATTAGCAGGACGGCATGATCAAAATTATTTAAATTGGGTTTATTGAAACCTTTGAACTACCTTTCCCTTCCAAATACAGGTTTTGTATGATTAAACCATCATGCAGAGCTAATACAAGCTGTTAAAATTGTACAAAAATGAGGTTCCTATTTAGGGAAGCTTAAGAACAGAATGTATTTTGGGCTAACACACAACCTTTATTTTTCAGGTGGTCATAAATGGAGGAGCTGCATCGAGTGGGGATCAGGACACTGAAGATACAGAACTCATGGCCATTTATACCACGGAAGGTGGTATTGCAGAGAAGGTATGTGGGATATCTTAGTTTGTTTGGGTTATTAACATTTTATTTAGGCTTCTAGGCATTGCTAGATCAATGTGGGGTGGCTAGAAAGGGCCACACTGAAACACAGTCTTCAGAGGCTCCTTGTGCTTAGCTAATTAATAAAAATTACACCCTGATTAAAAAAATCACCTGTGAAGGAGCTCGACAACCGAAGCGAACTGTCCCACAAACCTGGTGCTCTGGCATTCTGCGTTGAAACATTGCTTTACAAGCTCCTTGACCTTACAAGCTCCATAAAATTAGAGAGTCCTGACGGTCTCCCTAATCGGCACTACCTAAGCCTACCTTGGGGCTCAGAATCGAAGATATGTGGAGGCAGACGCATGAGGTGACTGGGCCCAAGATGGCCTTCTCTGGGGTCTGCTCAGACCTATCTGATAACTTCCCATATGAGGAGGCCGAAAAGAGTTTACCTGCATGACTACGTCAGTGCTGCGTGAGCTTCTGGCAGATCTACAGAGAACTCTCCAGGCTGATGTTGCCGCGTTCCGCGGAGATCTACAGTGCCTGACTGGCTCTGAACGCTAGAGAAGGCCTCAGAGAGGGGCGCACAGCGGACGGACTCACTCCAACGAGCTGTTTAAGAGCAACAACCCCAAAACCGAACAAATGAACGCCGATTTGCGGCCCTTGAAGATTCAGCCACCGCCCAACTTTGTGGATGAAATACTTTTTTATTGGAATACACTGAACCCAATGCTTTCCTATGAACACCATTTGATGACAGACATCCACATCCACAATGAAAGTCACAAGACCAAGTAAAACTGTCAAAAAATAAAGAATTTAAAAAAATTTAAAAAATTAAGTCCCTTAAAAATATTTTCCTTTCAGTGTTTCATTAATGCTAAAGAGGGACATACAGCTTTAATAATAAAAAAGCATAGCCATACAGCAATAGCAATATTCCTGCTTTATTTAAAATACTAAATAATTGATATCCCATTCACTATGAATGTAGTGTTCCCTAAAAGGCGTTCTCTCCACCAGTCTGATGACTACCTTGTAGGCTAGCACTTAGTGTGGTCCGTTAAGTTTTACCAATGCCATATTGGTGTACTCTTAAAAGTTAATTTAACGATTTTATTTATTTGTTTTCATTCTTGTTCACTGTTGCTGCTGGTCATTCTAATAATTCAGAGCGTATTGAACAGTTCTCTCAAAGGTAACCGTTTTATCAATTATAAACATTGGAACAGAATTAGGAAGTCCTTAAAGGAACACTATAGCCACAATCCGTTGGTCTCTAGAAGCCACATGATTGAAAACCAACTCTGACTTTTTTCTCACAGAGGAAGTGTCAGAAAGACAACCACTAGAGATGTCTTTAATCCTGCAATGGAAACATTGCTGCTTCTACTAAACTGCAAAATTTTAAATTGCACGTTTAAAACTAAAGGGCCACTGCACCCAGGCTATCTCATTAAAATGAAGTGGACTGTATGCCTTTAGTGGTCCTTTAAATACTGAACCTTTTAAACTGCAGGAATGCTCCAGGCAAGTCAGCTAAGGGGACTATATTCTTCTGCATTGGAAGCCCCGATTTAAAAATAAAACACACCAACGTATAAGAACGGCCTTTTTTTTCAAAGAAATCTGTTTGTGAACATATCCTAGAAGGCAGCACTTGTCATGCAGATGTTGCATGTTTTGTAGATGAGAAAGATTTCATGAGGTTTATAGCGTTCTAAGACATTCTGTACATGAATGGTAAGAAATATCTAGTGCTCCAGTTGCTACTCCTTTGGGCTTTTATTATATTCCCACTTTAGGAAATATGTATGATAAATTAACATGGTGATGTCTATAATTTATATTACTATGTTTATGGAGGAATTATTGTTTTCCACCACTTTTAAATTTTGTCAACTAACAATTTTAGTTGACTAAAATGTTTTGAGATTGTCGACTAAAACAAAAATTACTTTTTAGTCAAAAGACCATGACTAAAACTAAATTAAAAAGTGGCGCCAAAATTAACTGTGGTGGGTAAGACACATGGGGGAGGAAGGAGAGGAAATGAGATATAGAAACATAGAATATGACGGCAGATAAGAACCATTCAGCCCATCTAGTCTGCCCAACTTTCAAAATACCTTTATTAGTCCCTGGCCTTATCTTATAGTTAGGATCGCCTTATGCCTATCCCACACATGCTTAAACTCCTTTACTGTGTTAACCACTACCACTTCAGCTGGAAGGCTATTCCATGTATCCACTACCCTCTCAGTGAAATAGTCCTTCCTGATATTATTTTTAAACCTTTGACCCTCTAAGGACTATGCCGTCTTGTGGTAGTTTTTCTTCTTTTAAATATAGTCTCCTCCTTTACCTTAACTTTTTTTTTTTGGTGCAGGTAGGTACATGTTATTGTCAAATGCCACAACCACGTACTTATAGATTCATACAGGCTTAGCATTGGCATGAGTGTGTGCACATTTTTAAATATAAACAAGCTCAATAGAAACAGGCTTAACATAAGTAATGAGTTACTGCTATGTAGTTTAGTATGTATGTGGATTAAGGTTACGTTGCAATAGATTGCTGCAGTATAGTAAATGCTTGAACATACATGTCTGCATGAGAGACAAGGCAGGAGGTTCAAAAATAAGAAACATCGAACATGAAGATTATTAAATAAAATAAGTAAATAAATGAACAAGCTAGAGTAGGCCTGACGCTTATGTTTACGACTTATGTTTACGGCAAACAGGGATAGCCCTCATGAGCCTGGGGACAAACAGTGCTAAGCCATCTCTGTGGCCGTGAGTGCGCCATAAATGAGCTCTGCGACTGAGCGGTATGCCAGCTTGGAGTCTGCTCCCCTGTGAGTGCTGTGCAGGGATGTAGCTGCGAGGTGTCGACTTGCATGTTGGGTTGAGTTTTTACCGCTGGGCGATTCAGTGTTTGGGGGTCTGCCAGCGGGCCCGCCGGCGAGAGTGTCGCTTTTCTGTGTGCGCTTTGGGCTAAGAGGCCGCCGCGTCAGCTATCATTCCCCGTGTGGTAGATATAATGGGGTGGGTGGTGTTATGCTCTGTGCGCCTCTAGAAGTCCCAGCATGTGCGGTCAAACTGAGCTTCAAAGCGTTCTCTCCATGCCCGTGGCTTTTTTGCAGTTGCAGGGGTTGGTGCTTGGCATCCATGTTGGGCCCGACATGCGGTCTGTGTTTCGGACGAGAGATTTCAGGGTGTAAGCCTGTTAGTTTCCCCAGAGGGGACCGGGATAATGGGTCGCCAGGAGAGCTGCTGCTTTTTGCGGTCCCCATGGCGGGAGATCGGCCGCCTCTCCCAGCCACTAGGCCGCTTTCCATGTTAGGCCTCATTTTAAGAGTGTGCAGTATTCTTTCCAGAATTTCACCAGGCGTGTCTCCACGGGTCTCCACTTGGTTCAGCACTGCTGTGTTGCCGAGTTGGGCTACTTTAGTTGAGTTTGTGGCATATCTTTGACAATACAATGCTGCTTTTTTGCCAGAGCTCTCTGCATGCACATCTGGTTAGCTCGGCTGTCCGGTCCCGACCCCCAGTCTCCTCCTTTACTTTGTTGATTCCCTTTATGTATTTAAATGTTTCTATCATATCAGAGGGGTCTCGTTTTTCCTCCACGCTATACATGTTAAGTTCCTTTAACCTTTCCTTGTAAGTTTTATTCTGCAATCCATGAACCGGTTTAGTAGCCCTTCTCTGAACTTTCTCTAAAGTATCAATATCCTTCTGAAGATACGGTCTCTGGAACTGCGTACAATACTCCAAGTGAGGTCTCACCAGTGTTCTGTACAGTGGCATGAGCACTTCTCTCTTTCTACTGCGAATACCTCTCCCTATAAAACAAGCATTCTGCTAGCATTTCCTGCTGCTCTATTACATTGTCTGCCTACCTTTAAGTCATCAGAAATAATCACCCCTAAATCCTTTTCCTCATATGTTGAGGTTAGGACTCTTTCAAATATTCTGTACTCTGCCCTTGGGTTTTTACGTCCAAGATGCATAATCTTGCACTTATCCACATTAAATGTCAGTTGCCACAACTCTCACCATGTTTCAAGTTTACATAAATAATTTGCCATTTGGCTTATCCCTCCTGGAACATTAACCCTGTTACATGTCTTAGTATCATCAGCAAAAAGACATACCTTACTATCAAGACCTTCTGCAACATCACTAATAAAAATATTAAAGAGAATGGGTCTAAGTACAGATCCCTGAGGTAACCTACTAGTGACAAGCCCAAGCTTCGAATATACTCCATTGACTACAACCCTCTCTTGCCTGTCACTCAGCCACTGCCTTACCCATTCAACAATATTGGAACCCAAACTTAAAGATCGCAGTTTATTGATGAGTCTTCTATGTGCAACAGTGTCAAAAGCCTCACTGAAATCTAGATAAGCAATGTCTACCGCACCACCCTGATCTATTATTTTAGTTACCCAATCAAAAAAATCAGTAAGATTAGTTTGGCACAGTCTCCTTGAAGTAAACCCATGTTGTCTCTGATCTTGAAATCCATGTGATTTTAGATGTTCAACAATCCTATCCTTTAACATGGCTTCCATTACTTTCCCCACTACTGAAGTAAGGCTTACTGGCCTATTGTTGCTTGACTCCCTATTACCTTTCTTCTGAATGGGCACAACATTCGCTAACTTCCAATCTTCTGGGACTACTCCTGTTAGCAATGATTGGTTAAATAAATCTGTTAATGGTTTTTCTAGTACACCACTAAGCTCCTTTAATAACTTTGGGTCTATCCCATCAGGTCCCATTGACTTATTTGTCTTTACTTTTGACAGTTGAAATAGAACCTCTTTCTCTGTAAACGCACATGTAACAAATTACTCACTTGTCCTTTTTCCTAACTGAGGTCCCTTCTCTTTTAGTGCCCCCCCCCCCGCTTAATGTTCCTCTCTCCCCCCTCTAGTGTTCCTCTCCCTCCTCTTTTTGTAGTCCCCCCGTCCCATAGTGTTCTTTTCTCCCCTCTACCTGTCCCAGTGTTCTTACCCCCTCTCCCTTGTCCCATAGTGTTCTCCCCTCCTCCCCTGTCCCATAGTGTTCTCCCCTCCCCTGTCCCATAGTGTTCTCCCCCCCTCCCCTGTCTCATTGTGTTCTTTTCTCCCTTCTTCCCCTGTTCCATAGTCTTCTTTTCTCCCCCTCCCTGTCCCATAGTGTTCTCCTCCTTCCACTGTGCTGTAGTGTACTCCCCTTCCACTGTCCTTTAGTGTACTCCCCCCACTGTCCTTTAGTGTACTCCCCCACCCCACTGTCCTTTAGTGTACTCCCCCCTGTCCACCAGTGTAGCTTCCCCACCCTTTCCCTGTCCTGTAGTGTACTCCCCTTCCCCTGTCCTATAGTGTACTCCCCCCTTCCCCTGTCCTGTAGTGTACTCCCAGTCCTGGTGTTCTCCCTGTTCGTAGTGTTCTCCTCCTCCTCCCCTGTCCTAGTGTTCTTTCTCCCCCCTTTTCATGTCATCATTACTATCTTTCATTGTGATATATAATCATCTGGATGGTTAATGCAAACATATCTGTTAAACTATGCACAATTATTTTTTAAAATTTTGGCAAATTTGACCAGTTTTTGACCATCAATGTGCACCCTGAATGTTTCTAGTACCTATTGTTCAGCTGTTCCAAACTCCTAGAGCTGTACAGAGCATCTATAAATATTGACATCTATATAGATTTGGTTACACAGCCTAGCTACCGTCCCTTGCAGGAAAAACAGCTAGCTTGTATTGTATGTTTAAAGGAACACTGTAGTGCACTATATGGTTATTCGGTCCCCCTCTCCCTCGGAGCCTCCCTCCCGCAGGGCTGAAGGGGTTAAAGCCTCTTCAGCCACTTAACTTAATCCAGCACCGAGCTCTCTCGGCGATGGTCGCCTCTCCTCCCCCTGCCGACGTCAGCTCCTGAGTGGAGCCGAATGCGCATGTGCTGCCAGAGGCGCACGCGTTCAAACCGCCCATGGACGTCCAGCAGGAGTTGAATGCGATTTTCACAGAGAATCACGGAAGTGGCCTCTAGTGGCTGTCAGGGAGACAACCACTAGAGGCTGGATTAACCCTCAATGTAAACATAGCAGTTTCACAGAAACTGCTATGTTTTCAGCTGCAGAGTTCAAACTAGGGGGCCCTGGCAAATTGAGCTGAAGTGGTCTGGGTACCTATAGTGGTCCTTTAATCATAATACAAAATGGTGCACGTTACTCACAACACATGTAATATACTGTTAATATGTCTAATCACATGTGTGAAAAGTTAGGTTTCTGTTTAACTGTCTGCAAATGCACCGCAAAAATAAAGAATTTAAAAAAAAAAAAAATCTACTGGAGATTTACTCGACTAAAACTAGACTAAAACCATTCAGATGACTGAAATACAACTAGAACTAAAATGGCTTTTTAGTCAAAAGACTTTGTAAAACTTAATTGAAATTTGCAGAGCAAAATTAACTTTTTTGTACTAGCCTGGTAGTAAGCCTTGTAGACTCAATCTACCGTAGATTCTTCATGGTGTGACAACAGGCCAGTGCCAGGAAAGGATAGGCAAGAGGTCACCCAGATCAGTTTGAACTAGAACTTTGCAAACCTAATGCCTGAAAGGCAATTATTTTCTGCATTTCCTTATAAAGGATAATGACTTACCTAAAGTTTTGTGATGTCACCAACTTGTTTTACTGGTCTACAAGGGCATTCATTTGAGAAGACTTTACAACTGCTCTCCAGGTAACCCATTTTAAACACATTGCCCTAAAGCTGAAGTGTTTCATCTCTTAAATGAGACTGTATTGTTGTGTGTGCTATGAAACATAACTAACAAGCATACATTTTACATGTTACTATATGACACAGTGGGTTGCCAACACCCAAGGCAAGTATTACACCCCTAAACCCCAGATTCCCTTAACAGGCCCCTTCCTTTGCTACCTGCCACACATCTCCGTGATGTGTGTAACTCTGATAGTTGCATTGCGTCATTTTTTAAAATCCATCTCACACCTGAAGTAATGTGTATAGTTTATACACATTGCTTGAGGCGCAAGGTGGATTTTAAATATTACACAACTATTAGTGTCACACACATCACGATGACGAGGCAGGTAGGGAAGGATGAACGAGGCTAACTAGATGTTTTACCGGTATGATACCATTTAATAATGTGTGATTTTCCATTTGAAGATGCCAGAGGTATCTTCAAACAGGAAATCACACTATTAACAGGCATATTTAATTTACAGATAAGACTGTACATGAAGACTTTACATGAAGACTGTATGGCTGTAATCAGAAAGTAAAATACTGTAAAATGTAACTTGGCAACGTTTCTGCCCGGTCATGTTCTATGTGAGGGGGAGGGCGCACTATTTTAAAAATTTATTATTATTATTATTACTTATTATTACTATTTACTATTACTTTTTAAAAATTTTATTACTACTACTACAACCGCCCCGTGCCCCTCCCCACGCTACGCCGCTGATAAAGTGATATGACCTGCCAAGAAGGTTAATGATTAAAACATTCATTCACCCGTGAGGTTTACATATTTTATATATGAATTCTATATAGAGTTCACTGTTACCTAGTTATCTGTGCTCCTTGCTTTGTCATTGTGCAACCAAGACACATGATATCCCGTCTTAAAACCCAGCAGGCTGACAGGCATTCTGAAAGTATTAATTCCTTTTGCCATAGTCTCCAATTTTGACACCTCTGGCGTATGATTACTGGATATGAATTCAAACCACTTCAGAGCTGAGCTTAAAGTGCCTTGGGCGGCATTTTCCAGGGGGAGGCAAAAAAAGCTGCCCCAAATGCCCAGGGCAAATGTCTTGTTAGCCTTGTGGCTAACTGACAAGCCAGGCGGGCTGCTGGGCTTCGGGTGGCCTGCGAGGGAGCACTTTCCCCTCGTCATATTCCGGCTCCCGGCATCACTTTGGAGGTGCCTGAGTTTTGTCCTAGGGCAGCACAAAACCAGGATACACCACTGTTCCTGACACTGAATGTTTAAAATAGTTGTTTATGTCCTGTCTGCCTCCCCCCCCCCTCGCCCTTAATAAAAAGGTGATTTACTCACCTTTTTTTCCAGCTAAACACCACAACGCGCCTATCAGCATCTCATCTCATAGGGATACACTGAATCAATACATCTCTGTGAGGAACATTCAGTGTCTCCATGCAGATGCTGAACGTGCAGCACTGACCCAGGAAACCTCTCTAGTGGCCGTCTGAGTGACGGCCGCTAGAAGTGTTTTTAGGCGGTATGTAAGCACTGCCTTTTCTTTGGAAAAAATAATGAAATTATAATGCCTGCGGGGACAGACAGCAGACACCAGAACAACTACATTTAAGCGGTTACAATAAGTAAACGGAGTGACTATAGTGTCTCTTTAAACCAAAAGATAACTGTGTATACTGATGAATATACCAATTTATATAGGTAGAGCATAGGGAAAATGTTTCATTATTATTACTACTATATTTCTAATATGAAGCAACTAGCCCTAACAGGCACTCTGGACCTTAATTTTTGCCCATACTGTCAGATGATGCCTACTAGCAGTGCTCCTACCAATGTTAATACAAAATAATTCCAAACATTTGCCTTCCTTCTGCCCTCAAATACATGACAAAAATCAAAATGTAGTAATTCCTACCAAGGATGATAATCTGGTTGAGAGCCCTTGCAGTTCAGGTGATGTGAGCTGGAGTGTTATTTATTTTCTTTTTGGGGAGTAATGCTCATGGCTGTCACTTACACTTGCCAAAATCTAGGCCAGATATTGAAAGCTGCTAGAGGCACATAGATGTAAATTGATATGTAAAATGTATTTTTTTGACGTATATATCGAAATTTTATGGAAATTTACACCTAGCCTTTGATCATGCATTCATATAAGACTAGTAAAAATGAAGAATTAAAAATACTTGCTGTTTTTACCTGAACATAAGATTTTGTTGCCTAGTTAATTATCCTATATAAATAAGAAGAATTTTCTTTCTATTTAAAGGGCACCAAAATAACTTTAGCTTAGTGAAGTAGATTTTGTGTATAAATAATGCCCCTGAAGTAGCAAAGCTTAATTATCTGCAATGTCTGTCAGAGAGTTAACGTGAATGATGTATTATGAAAGTGTAAGCAGTGTCCCCCCGCCCCCAAGCCCAATCGTAATAATAAAAACAGGCATTTTACATAATTGAATAAGATGATTTTTAAATAATTTAATCTGTTTAGCCTTTTTATTATATATATATATATATATATATATATATATATATATATATATATATATATGTGTTATTTTCTTTTACTTTCATATTAAAGATTTAGAAATTACATCATAATTCAGCCCAGGAAAGGAGTAAGCCAGGGCATATGTTGCAATCGAGGAGGAGAAATAGAAAGATTGTTTTATTTTTCCCTTCATCTTCATCTCTTTTTTCTATGCTGAACAGGGGCATGGCTAAGATCAAACACCCTGGGCTTAAACCCACAAATAATTTGACTCCTTTCCAATTCCATCGCTTAACACATCTCTTGCTACACTCAATTGCTTACAGACGCACACAGATACAATAGACACACATACACAAGTTTAAACACTAACACAATAAAAGCTGTCTGTACCTTGCCCCCCTGCTATTGTCGCACCTGACCAAGCATGGTTGACAGGGAGCTTAAATGGAAATGTTCAGATGTAGGATTAAAAAGGTGTGGATTTCTAAGATTAAGATTATTTTTCACACGTGACAAATACATATTTTTTTTAGGGTTACTCCAACACTTTTAAAGTATTTTTTTAATTTTATTTTTGTTTAGATTGCCCTAGTGGGCATAATTCACTTGGCTCCACCTTATAGTTATATAATACATTAAGAAAATTGGTTAAACAAGAATAGACTCACTTAGCAAAGTTTGCCTCATTCTGTTCATGCACCGCCTGTAGTCACTGCACCCTTTCAGTGGGCCGATGAAAAACCTCTCATTAAGAAGCACTTGATAGGATTGTTCTCACAGGCTCAGTGCATGTGTGTGCTCAGTCATAACTTTTGTGCAGAATTACCATTGAGCAGCCAGGAAAAGTTCTGGGATGCCTAAATCACGTGTGCTTGGGTGTGCCCAAAATTGCAGAGGTCTCGTTTGAATGTGGAGCATTTCTATCCGAAATGCTGCACAGATTCCTTGCTCCATGACCACGTCTAAAAATAGGAGGCTGTAGTAACCCTTTCATTAAACATAATATTAAAAATCCTGAGAATTGACAGTTCCTCTTCATCAATATTTCATCGGTAATGGTTTCATATAAAAATTGAAGCTAATGACTTTGCACTTTAATGGCTATACAGGGTTCATAGTTTGCATGTTGCAAAATATTTTTCTAAAATCACAAAGCCTTTTAACTGTTCTAATAGTTGATTCTATCCTCACTGTGAAACTCACTATACTGTGGGCATGTTAAAACTCTCATGCAAATCACCATAACTCTTGCTTTCTACATCATTTACAAACTGAATGTGTGCAGTTGTTGTGTAGTCTAAGATATGAAATGTTTAACAGTTTTTGCAACAGATCTGTGTAAAGCTGATCTGCTGTAAATTTGCTTTCCATAAATGTACCATATCTCCTATACATAAAAGTACTTTTAAAGAAAATGTAGATGCAATTTCTTCCCCATAAGGTTGCTTTTAGAAGCCTTCGTTCTTGTTTCTCCATATTTCTTGGCAGACACCTTTGACCCTTTTTGATGTCTTTGTTGATTTTCGATTCATCTAGTGTCTATCTTCCTCTATAATATATATTGCTAGTCACAACATGAATTTAAAAAAGTTTTTCTCAAATGATGGATGAGGTCACCTATCACCAGGTACAATAAAAAAAAAAAAAATTGGTTTCCTCAACAGAAGCTAGTTTTTGTAGTAGAGCCTTTCAATGCCTCTGGGACAAAAACTGCATATGATGAAGACCTTATTATACCTTGTCAATAATTTTAAAATCGGAAGAAAAAAACAAAATCCTTAGCAGTATACATGTAGGTTTTACCCTTTGAGAACTCAAAATCCTTTCAGACATACCTGTGTTTATTTTTGTAATTAATACCTGTGGATGTTAGGATTATACACACAAAAATTTATAAAAAGCTTGTTACAAATTGCTGATTATCTGTAGCGTAGTGTTTACTTTGCTGAATTGGCTGTAATGAGATTAAAGTGGCTCAGTCACCTCAAACTTACCTTTCTTCTATTGTTCCATCTTACCTCCCTCTTTCAAAATCTGTTCTTATGTTCTTCACTTCTGATCTATTTCTCTTTAAAATATAAGACAAGGTAGGGACTACTTTGTGTAATGTATTTTTCCTACGAATGACAATTGTGGGGGGGGGAAGGGTGGAGCTTAAGTCACGCATCACTTCCTTTGTCAAGCAAAGGGCAAAGCTTGTCTTAGAAGAGCACTGTAGTGTCCGCAACACAAACATTGTGCAGCATTGACGAAGGAAGCACTTCTGGTGGCCTTCTCTGTGACCCTAGAGGTGTTCTCTGAAAAGGCTGTGTTTACTGCCTGCAGGCTTTTTAAATCGACACCAGAAAAATTACATTACACTGTAGTTGTTCTGGTGACTATAGTGTCCCTTTAACCCCTTAAGGACCTGGGACTTATCAGGTACGTCCAACAAAAAAAAGGTTAACAACCCCAGACGTACCTGATATAAAATATATATATATATATATATATATATAAACAAACCCCATTCTCTATAAACACTGGCTCTTGCACAGTGCATTTTTTTAGGGGTGTAGCGGATGGCATGTGACTGTCTGTCAGAATTATATTTTAAAAGACTGTTTGCATGTCTAAACTGCCTGTACATTGAAAATTGCATATACATTCGTATGTTAGTTCGGTAGTTTCCTTCATAGTTTATACGAATGGAAACTACCGAATGCATAGACCACCTTAGAGAAGAAGTGTGTCCCTAGTTAAACTCTTATTCCCTCTCTAACCGCAGTTAATTGATGTTGTATTGCTGTACCTGGGTAGACGAACACGCGGCGGCGGTCATCTTACGCACGGACTCTCAGCGGTGTTTGGTCGTCGAGTGTCTGGAACTCAAATCGGACACTCGATTATGCATACACCGCTGAGACCTCCAGAGCTCCAGAACTCACGAACGGAGGGGCTATTCGACTCCTCGTTCGGTGAGTTCAGTATACCAAACAAGGGAGTTCGTGCGAACCTGGTATTATCTACGGATGGCAAGGATTTCTACCTGTTTTACCTCCCGACCGCAGGGCCAAAATACATGGAACTCCTTTCGGCTACATAGTCGTGTGCGGTCGGTCAAATAGTTTATTCCCTATAACTCCTGAACCCCCTGGTCTGATCTGGGTGACCAACATACTCAAAATTCACCCAGATCAGACCAGGGGATGCCACTTAAGTCCTGGTACCCCACGGTTTTGGGGTACATCCAAGAAACAGGGGAAAAGGTACCAGGATTAAGTGTCACACTGAGGGGAGGGAAAGTAGGGGAGGGAACCTCCGTATTATTGGTTACTGCTATAATTACTGTAAATCCCTCCCTTGCATGGGAGAATCCTTTATAAGGAACTGCTGTGAATAAATCTTTAGTTCTGCTCCTGATGCTGTGTGTCGTCCAGTCATTGGGATTGCGATTGGGATATTGTTGGAGTCTTTTTGCCTGCTGAAATTATAACTCTGTGGATTTATTATACTTGTTCCTGAGCCTTACTGGGATCCAAAGTGGAGATAGGCTGTGTAAGACCAGCTCCCCGCTACAAGGGGTTAATTTGTTGATTTTTTTTTTGTGAGACCCAAAAGCTCTTTTTCAGAGCTATTAACCCCTATCCTGCCAGTGATCACTGGCTCTTGCATAGCAGCAACTTATTTTGCTGTCTGTGCATTTTTTTTAAGGATTCATTTTTTTTAAAAAAAATTTTTTTGTTAAAGTCACTAAATAAAGAGATTGTGATTGTCACAGAGGTCGTATAGCGCTGAGGAGGCGTATGCCATCCTTGTGTTAGAGTCTGATGCGTCTATGTCTGATTCCGATCCTGATTTTGACCCTGCTAGGTGCTCAGATACATCACTAGATACAGTGTCTGGTGCTAGTGATGTATATAGTTATGATCGATCTGTGCCTGCTAGTCCGTCTGCCAGAAGGAGATGTGCTGCTGAGGAGTGGGTTGCGCCTCATCGCCAGAGGCCAGATATCCCAACCTTTACTGCAAATCCTGGAATCAATGTGAATGTCGTAGGATTTAGCCCCCAAGATTTTATGGAGGTGTTTCTGGGCGATAATGTATTGGGGAACATTGCTGCCCAAACTAATTTATATGCCCGTCAGTTCTTTGCTGCATAGCCTGATTCTTTTTTGACAAAGCGGCAACGGGCCCCATTGATGGTCCAGAATTTAAAAAAAAAAAAAAATATGGGCATTGACTATGCTGATGGGCATCATAAAGAAGACCATCTTCCGCTCCTACTTGAGCAGTACCCCCATCAGCTCTACCTCCATTGTATGTTGAGGAAGAGGTATGAAATTATTCCACATTTCATGCACTTCAGCGACAATAGCCTGTGCCCCCCTAGGGAGCATCTCAAGTTTGACAGTATAAAATCCGCCTCCTGAATACCCACTTCGCTGCCAGGTTTGCAGAGGCTTATACATCGGGAAGGAATATATGCGTGGTGAATCCCTGATAAAATATAAGGGAAGGCTGGGATTCAAGCAGTATGTTCCTTCCAAGCGCTCCAGGTAAGGTGTATAATCTCTTAGAGATTGAGACTGGGTATATTTAGGCCTTCGGGTGTATGAGGAAAAGGATGGCCACCTTGACCCTCCAGGTTGCCCAGAACATATGGCAACCAGTGGCAAGATTGTCTGGGACCTGATATTCTCCGTGATGAACAAAGGGTACCACTTGTATACAGACAATTTTCATACAAGTGTCCCTTTGTTCAAGCTACCGTATTGTTTTGATACTGTAGCTCGCGGTACAATCAAAAAGAACCATGCAGGTTTCCCAGAATAACTTACATGCACCCGGCTATGAAGGGGGGAGACCTCACCACTGCACCAAGAGGAGCTGTTGGCAGTTAAGTACAGAGACAAGAAGGATGTGTACCTTCTTACCACCATCCGCACTGAGAGGACTGTTGAGGTCTCTGTACGTGGCAGAGCTGGGAGCACAAGGAAGCCAGTGTGCATCAAGGCCTATAACTGCCATGTGGGTGGGGTTGATCTGGCAGATCAGATGCTGCAGCCCTACCTAATTATACGGAAGACCAGGGCCTGGTACAAAAAGGTTGCAATTTACTTAATGCAGATTGCAACCCACAAAGCTTTTTTTCTTGTGTAAAAAAGCAAACCCCGGAATGAAACTGACTTTACTACAGTTTCAGCTCCAGATCATTTCCAGGATTTTGTACCGTGATGCACAGGCTCCCTGGGCTGTGATACGAGAGAGCAGAGTTGGGGCTACCCACTTTATTTTTAAAATCTCCCCCCTGCTGCGGCAAAGCAGAATCCTCAAAGCAGATGCAGAGTCTGTTTCAAAAGGGGGCAGAGAAAGGACATCGTCTTTTACTGTCCTGATTGCCCAGGACAGCCTGAACTCTGCATTAGGGACTGCTTCAAGAGATACCACACACTGGTCCATTTTTTTATTTTATTTTTTCATTTGCCTTTCAGTTTTTTGGGTTTTTTTTGGTTACATTTACTGTTCATGAGTTTGTTTGTTTTTTTATTTACTTTTACTGTGCCAGACTATTTTTGATCAAGTTCAATCTATGCATGGGGGGCATGGGTTTATTAAAGAGGCCTTGCAGAAAACAACCTGAAGTGTTTTCTTGCAATAACCAACAACATGATCTCCTAAATCACAGTAAAAAAAACAATGTGTGTGTAAAAATGAAAATTGAAAAATTACCACCACACATTTTCTCCAATTTTTTTTGTGGCTAAAATGGTTGCATCAAAGGCATCAAAACACTCCAAATACAATACCTTGGAGTGTCAACTTTTCAAATATATGCACGTTCATGGCAAGAAAATATATTTGGGTATGTAAAAAGGCCCCCAAAAAGATGGGCAAAGAAGATATGTCAAGTTTAAAAACCATATGTCAGAAGTTTGGCATTGCACCCCCCAAACAACCCAACAAGCCTATGCATAGGTGGTATCATTGTACTCAGAAGATGTTGCTGAACAAATATTGGGGTGTTCTTTGGCAGTTATACATAACTAGCTGGGAATTCATGCCTAAAGTACAATGTGTGTGAAAAATAACACAAAAAAATGACCACCCAAATGTTTGACAAAGAGTGGTGGTAGAATTAGTGCATGGAAAGTGTTAAAATACCACCATTTAAAATGCCCTATGGTGTCTACTTTTCAAAAATATATGGTTTGATGGGGGTAAATAACATTGGACGGCTTCAAAAATGTCCCAAATAGGACATGGGTGCATGATGACCAGCTATAAATATGCCAAGTTGGAAAACTTGAATGCGCACCCTCCAAATAAGGTCTTTTAGCCCACAGAGAACCCGACACACCTGTACATGGGTGGTATCACTGTACTTAGGAGATGTTGCTGAACACTTTTTTGGGCGTTCTTTGGGAGTAACCCTTAAAGTTCTCCGTACATGTATTTTTAAATTGCTATGTGTTTTTTTTTTTTTTTTAAAAATCCACTTTTTTTTTTGGAAGGGGGGGGGCATAAATATGTTTTTGAAATAGCAAAGTGCTACTTGTACTTATTGCCCTAGAACTTGCCAAGAACATGTTAACATTGGGTATTTTGTAATTTAGGACAAAATGAAGAAACTATTTATCATGTGTTTTTTGGCGGTTGTAGATTTTTTTTTTTTTAATTGTAAATTATATGATATGATGAAATTAATATCTTTAGAAAGACCATTTGATGGTGAGACAAATGGTATATAATATGTATGGATATAGTAAATGAGTAAGAGGAAAATTACAGCTAAACACGAACATCGCAGAAATGTAAAAAGAGCCCTGGTCCTTAACGGGAAGAAAATTGTAAAACGGTCTGGTCACTAAGGAGTTAAGCTCCACCCTTTGCCAAGATTGCAAAATGTTTGAAAAATACACAAGACAAATGCCTACTTTGTCTCATGTTTTAAATATAAATACATTAGAAATTAAGAAAAGAACAAATTCTGAGACCAGAAGAGAAGACGAAACAAGAGGAGAAAGGTTTGAGGTGACAGAGCCACTTTAAATTCATTGTTTTATTCAATCTTTCAATCATGATGCTAAATTTAAGGTCGCTTGCCATGGGTAAAACACCAGCCCCAGAACCTATTGCTCTGTTGAGAAATTCTACATTCAAGGCAAAAATGTTACATTTTAGTTAAACAAGCTGGGGAGAGGGGTTCTGTAAAACAATCTATGTTGTATACAATTGAAATGTTTTTAGAATTTCGTAAAATAAATACAGTTATAAATGGCATACTTTTAAAACATGCAAGTTAATTGTATTTTAAGTTTTAATTTTCTAATTTCATTAAGCCTGCATCACGGTGTCTTTTAGGCCAAAAGGCGAGACTGTTATGAATCCCTTTTACGCAGATAGCAAAGAATCTTTATCAGGAAGGAATTCCTTAATCTTGTCATACAAGGTCTGCTAACACCACAAGCCTTCCATAAGCAGACAGATTAGTTAAGGCAATAAAGTCACATTTTAAGAGGAAGACGCATAGTTTACCAGGATGATGATTTTTAAAAGTAGCAGAGATAGGTATGTTAGATTTTTTTGGGTTTTTTTTTTCTTGTATTTCTTCTTGATAAGATTTACAAACAGACATTTTCCAGTTTTCACAAAAGACTACAGACAAACTATGGTAAATTTATAAAAGTGACACCAACTCAAAAGTTGTGTGAAGTTCTAAAAGTGGTGCAGATGTCATGAAACCAATAAACTTATAAGGAAAATCTTAGGATTGTTCCACATTTAGATCTTTCCGTTGGTTTCCATGATTTGACAGGGCAATCTAGATGGATGTTTGTACTGTGCATCTTCATTTACTCTATTCTCTTCCCATATTCCATGCAGAGCTCTCTGGCAGAGACACTGGATAGCACTGGAAGCTTTGAACGTCAGCGGATGGATATGATTTACACAGTGGAGGATGTTCCTCCCTGGTACCTGTGCATCTTCCTGGGGTTACAGGTAAGTAAAGCTCCCTGGAGATATAAAAGAAATATTAGTTGCTGTCCCATACTGCTTTGTCTCACTTTCTTCTTCTAACATTGTCTAAGCTCACCATATTATTCATCCTGGAGCAGTGTTGAATGTCTTGCTGTTCAGTTTACTCTGAGGACATTGAACATACAGGATGGTCCGTGTCAGTATTTGATCTGCTTGTCATGTTGATATGGGAAGGCAATGGCAAACTTCGGTATCCAGATTTTGATAATGACGTTTTCAAGATGTTCCATCACCCATTTGAACTTTCAGCCAACCAAGTGCACGTTACATTCTGATTAGTTTGGCTTTGTGAGCCCCATGGAAATCGATATGCAATTACAGTACCATTAGTTAGCAATGAATTGTTTGAGCTGGCAATGCTTTAAATATTAAGCAAATAAAATGTCAGGCAATGTTTTATTTATATATATGTATATATTTTACATTTAAACAGATTAAATACAAACCTGTTTAACCCCTTTCTTGGCCATGAAAAGTAAGGCATTCTAAAATCAGTCTGGTCACATGCATGCAGGCTAGATTTGCTGCTGCCTGAAAAAAAAGTGTAAATGAGGCACATTTTACATAACTAAATAGGAAATAAATGCAGTGTTTGGCTAGTTAAAGTAGAGTGCCTTTCTAATGTTGTATTGACAATCGGTACTTTTTCCTTTTCACCACTTGTTAAATAATCACAATACCTGTACTCTGACTGCTTGATATAATGTCATATCTTTCCATAATTCGTTTCCCTGCATGCCTATGGAGGGAGTGGGAGATTAGATCCACAAAATAAGTGATTCTTTGCCAGGTGATACATGACATCAGTCACAGCAAAATTGAAGTCTTGCTAATTATTAATCCGCAAGTTCAAGGTACGGTATGATTAAATATCACTGACCACTTGTGTGCTTTATAAAGGTTTTATAGACTAATCTTTGATCCTCACACATACAGGGGATATTTGTGTGTGTATTGTGTAGTTAGTTGGAGTGATGTACGTAATAACCTTATTTTATGTTCATCCTCATAAGGAAGTCAAAGAACAAGAAAAGTTTAAGATAATGATCTAGTGATGTTCTTCTTCGAAGCTGGAGATTGCCAGAATTGCTTAACTATGTAGAATATATTTTTCCACCAACAAATTTTGTTTTAGAAAAACTTAGATGTGACAGGTGCCACCTCAGAGTAAACTTGTCATCTTTGCAGTTCTTATTAATAACTGCAGTTATCATAAGAGAAAGTCGAGAAATCAACTTAAAGGAATACAGAAAAAGTAGAAAAGAGAACAGAGTAACAGAAATAAAGTAGTAAGGGGAATTAAAAAGCTTGAATCATAAAATCCAACAGCTCATCTATTATTCCAAACTATTAGTGCTGTTCTGTTGTCAATACACCTTAAAGTCTGCAGTCTAAAACACACCTGCTGTATCTCCACACAAATCAGTGCATAGCATCATTTTTATAGCCTCTGGGATCTTATGTGGTATGTTAGCTGATATAGTTCATATCCGTTTTCAGTTTAAGTATCTTTAAGCAAACTCTACCCTGTTTTTTTTCCATCTACTTCTAACAGCACTACCTGACATGTTTCAGTGGTACTGTGGCTGTCCCATTCCTGCTAGCAGAAGCCATGTGTGTTGGGTTTGACCAGTGGGCCACTAGCCAACTTATTGGGACCATTTTCTTCTGTGTTGGAATCACTACTCTACTTCAGACAACATTTGGGTGCAGGTGAGTAGGATGTGTAAAGTAAAGCCAGTTAAAATAGGCTTTTTAATAGTTTATCCTCTGTGTGTACCTACTCCGTTTAAGTAAAATGGCAAAAAGTAATTTTTTTATGAAATTAAGCACGTTGGGAGAGGAAAAATTCCACCATGTGCTTTTTTTTTTTTATGTAGAAAAGTGTGTGCTGCGCTTGTATAAGAAAATTATTTCAAAATCACTTAAAATACCTTAAGGGAATATCTGACTGAAAGTCTGTAATATGTATAATATTGGCCTCATGATAACGGCTATAATTCCTGGTGTTAAAGAACATGGTGCTTAATAAATCTTGATCTATTGTTAATAGTCAAAAAGGTCTTAATTTCTATAAATATAGATCACATTGGCACAAGCTACTCCTTGCTATATACAGTATATGTTACAAATAGTTACTCTGGAATAGTTTGGACTGATATGTTGACCCCTGAAATAACTAAATCAATTTCATTAAATCCAAAATTCCTGTGGGTTAATTGGGTGCCTGGACCAATACCTGCCTCTACTGCATCTGGCAAGGAGGAGGCCAAGTATAATCAGATATGGAACATCAAATGACCAACTCCTTCCTTCCCCCCCCAAAGATTGTCTAGAGGGATTCTGTTAAAAAAAAAAAAAAAAAGTACTAGGGGATACCCATTGCCTCATACACTGTCTGAGTGCTCCCTATTTATTCCTAGTGTGCAGGACTTAAGATTTGTCTTACTTACTGGCCTTTATCAATGTATACGCATATAGAATACATGGTTGTAGGGGGCAGGGCCTGACAGCCGACCAAGATAATCACAAGTGGCTGGGACAACTCAGGGAAAATCTCTTACTAAACCTAATCCTTGACCTAAACATACTAATTTTGGAAAATATCCAGCTTATTCTCCTGTGCAATAGTCTGCCAAGTCTTTGGACGTCGTTTTCCTGGATCCACCAGGCATAGCCCATGCTAGGCTTCTCTGCAACCTGCAGACCTACTTGAGTTGGGGGAGGCGGCCAGTCCTCTGCCCTGGTTTGAGATGTCTTGTTCCCCACCTTTTGACTGGCGGGGGATATCATGGTCCAAACAAGTGAAATCTAGTGGTCTCCTTTGCGAGGCATTGAAATTAAGTGATTTGAAGGGTTTAAGCCTATTTCTCAAGATTGCTGACACAAAAGGGCCTGCTGCTTCACAGGCCTTCCCAGAGCCACCTTCTCCTGTGGACCTGCTTCTTCAAGCTTTCGACCACCTATGTGCTCAATTTTGGGCATAATTAATTTCGAACACTCCCATATGCCGAGCAAAGACCTCCCAGAACCCGCTGGCAGGCACCACACAGCAAGTTTTCTTCCGTGCACAGACCAACACGGCATCGCTGAGGTTTTACCATATATTTCTACATTTAATATGCTTCAAATCCTCTACAGTCGTAATCAAAATTATTCAACCCCTATTGAAAATCAGGGTTATTGTCAAAATTTACAGACTTTAGCTGTTTGCAATGAACAAAGCAAACAAAAGCAGTTGAAGTAGCACAACACAACAAATGCTTCAAGTGTTTCCCCAAATGCAACTCAAAATGCAGCTTATGATCACTTCTCCAGATCAAATTCAAATAGCACACTGGATGCACACAGCCTGTTCTTTCAAGTATCTGTATGTTGTTAGACTCCAATCTATCCTTTGGCCACCACATTGAAAAACGCTCTTCAAAACTTTACCCAAAACTAGGTGCCCTGTACAGAAACAAATCCTGCCTAAGCCCTACAGTAATAAAACAGATTGTGCAACACTAATGCCGGCCATTGAATATGGGGATGTAGCATATGCACCTGCGCCGCAAACCCACCTTCATAAACTTGTTAATAACTCATTCTGCTGTTTGTTTGTTTTTTGCTGCAATGTAATTACATAACCCACCATTGTGACATTTTACAAGAGCTAAACTGGCTATCACTGGAATCCAGACGCATCCTTCATCTTTCCAGCCCTGTTTTAACCCCTTAAGGACTGAGCCAGTTGTACAAGTTGTGATCAAAACGTAAACAAAACCTGGCATCTGCGCTATGTCAGTCCAATCGTCATTCACCTCTTTCATATTAAATGCACCCACACTTATTATATATCATTTTGTTCAGGAAAAACAGGAATTTCACGTCACATCAAATATTTACATAGTAAACATAATTTAATATGAATAAAATGTAAAAAATTCATATTTTTTTTTTTTTTTATATTTGTTTAGTACTGCATGGCATTTTAACTGTGAATGTCATCATACTGTTAGCTGCAATAAATTGCACATATTTGTATTCAGTGAAGTCTCACAAGTCAAATAGTACCCCCCAAGTACAGGTTTTATAGTGTTTTGGAAAGTTACATGTTCAAATTTAGCACATTACATTTTTTAGTTTATAAACATTAAAATTTGCAAGACTGGTTATGTTGCCTTTGAGACCGTATGGTAGCCCAGGAATGAAAATTACCACCATGATAGTATACCATTTGCAAAAGTAGACAACCAACGGTATTAAATGGGGTATGTCCATTCTTTTTTAGTGGTCATAAACACTGGCCAAAGTTAGCATTCTAATTTGTATGTGTGTGAAAAATGCAAAAAACTGATTTGAACGATAAATTTGGCCTGTGTTTGTGACTAAATGGCTACTAAAAAAGATTGGATATACCTCATTTGCAATAACTTGGGCTGTCTACTTTTGCAAATGGTATGCCATCATGGGGGTAATTCATTTCTGGGCTACCATACGGTCTCAAAGGCAACATAACAAATCTGACGAATTTTAATGTGAAAAAATGGAAACACCAAGTGAAAACACCATAAGACCTGTACATGGTGGGTACGGTTATACTCAAGAGACTTCGCTGAACACAAATATTAGTGTTTCCAAACATTACAACTTATCACAACAATTATATAGTTAGTGAAAGTGCAGTTTGTGTGTGAAAAATGCAAACAAAAAACTTGTGATATGTTTTACAGTTTTGAAATACTAATATTTGTGTTCAGCGAAGTCTCCTGAGTAAAACAGTACCCCCCTATGCACAGGTTTTATGGTGTCTTGGAAAGTTACAGGGTAAAATATAGGGCTTGCGAACCATATTCTCTGGACTTTCTGCCTGTGTCAGGCAAGTCCCTCAAATCTTAATGAAATGACTTGATCATGTAAAAATATTATATATAATAAATATATATAGATTGTGTGTGTGTGTATATATATTTTTTTTGTAATATTTTTATTTATATATATAGATATATATTTACGTATTTATAACGGTATTCTAAATGTATTTTGATTTAAATATGTAGATTAATATCAAAATACAGTTAGAGCAAAAGTATACAGGTATAAAATTTTTGTAAAATTTAATTTTATAATTTTTAAAATTTTTGTTTATAGATTATATTTTTTTTATATATATATATTAAAAATAGCCCATAATATAAATATGGGCTAGCACTCACAGTCTTTTGGAGTAAAATCAATTCTTTATTATTTGTTTTGTTGATCCTGATGAAAGCTCAGAACTTGGGCTGAAACATCGATTTTTAAAAATTCTTCAATAAAGAATTGATTTTACTCCAAAAGACCGTGAGTGCTAGCCCATATTTATATTTTGTATTTTTGATTGTGGCTAAATTCATGCACCCGGCAACAATATATTGCATTATTTGCTGGATATATCTGAGTGCAAGGACTGGACTGTCTTGTGTGTGTGTGTGTATATATTTATTTAACGTCATTGTAAGTGTATTTTAATATGAATATATATAATTTTGTGTATGTGTATATAAAAGGACTCCGCGATCACATGGCCCTGGAGGGCCGGATCGTGCAGAAGGGGGCTGCCTGAGCTCCCACACAGACAGCCCCCGGATCGCGACAGCCGGCGGGGACCCTGTAAGTCCCCTGGACGGCGGGGACATTCTATGCCGCCCACCGGCTAATAGGAATGCCCAAAAAAGGACGCCATAGAACACCCGCCATCCTTAAGGGGTAGAGAGCTTTTTTGAAAAGCATGCACCCTATCTAAGTAGAATGCTCTTCCCAGCTGTTCCCACCTCCTATAACCTACGATCCAGTACTAGCACGATATTTAGCCTACCGCAATACAAAAATAAAGCGACTAGATTCTCATTTTCATACAGAGCAGCGCAATTGTGGAATAACCTCACGGACACAGTCTAATCTTCATTCAATCTAAAATCTTTTAAGAGATCGCTGTCAACATACTTCAATACAGAATGCACCTGGTTGAATGTGTGTGTGTGTGTGTGTGTGTGTGTGTGTGTGTGTGTATATATATATATATATATATATTATAATTATTTTTTTATGTGTGCATTATACATCACATTGGTATAGATAACAGTGCTTAATAAGAGGATAATTGACAAACATGTCTGCTTGAACATTATGCACAATTTTTAAAGAAAATGTCAGGCTAGTAACATGAATACTAACACGATGCATTTCCCAGGAGGCCCCTAGCAGGATTCATAGTAAGAAGATTGAGAATGAGAGAAGAAACGTTAGGACAGGATGCTTATAAAACAGACAGTGCTTCTTCCACAGAAACCAGAGGGTTCCTCATTATTATCAAGGGAGAGAGCATAATGATTGGCCCAGAACTCTTCCCCATACAGTCCGAGTGGTCAAACTATCCTATGCCGACCAAGGGCATAGCAGAGTCCTATGATCTAGGGTAAGAGGGCAGGCCCCTGTTCCCCAGAGGGAGCTAGCAAACTAAGCCAGGTGAGATAGGAGGGGGTTCCGCCAGTCTGAGTCCCCTTGGCAGGTCGCAGCGGTGCCTTCTTGCTTGTCGCTGTATGTGTGTGTTTCCCGATCCACTGCCTTGTAGCAGCCCAAAGCACCGCTGATGCTGTGAGTTTCTGCTTTAGGTTAGGTGTTGGCTTCAGAGGTGGGTGGACACATGGTTGGCTCAGGACAGGTTGGTGTATCTTCTGCTCTAGTTTGAGCCAAAAATTGTGGAAGATGCTGTCCAGCCTGCAGAAGATGTCTAGATTCCCCCCTGTGGTGCTGGGAGCCCACGTGTCTTCCGCCATTTTAGTTGTGAGACCAGAGTTTACAGCATCAGTCTCTCCGTGCTTCTAACAGGTCAGGTTAGCCTCCTAGGAGTGGACCGGGGGAGTGGCAGATCCGCTTCGTTGATTGTAGTGGGGAGAGCGGCCGCATCTCTCCAGCTCCCGTGCCCATAGGCCATACTGATTTGTTGCCGGCTTCCGGTAGCCGAGTAAGTTGGGTAAAATATCTCCCGAGTCATCAGTACACTCCCAGTGCGATGGGTTCACAGTGGAGTGGTTTCAAGCTTGGAGACTGGGGTCATCTCTGCATTTGTAGCAGAAAATGCATGAGCCTGCACAGTATGCTTCAGCATGGCTTGGCGGCCAGGCCCCACCCCATGGTTGAATATATATATATATATATATATATATATATATATATATATATATATATATATATATATTGCATAGGTACAGTAGATATAAAAAAATACAATATATATTATACACACACACACGTATAAATGGAACACAGAACAGGTAATATATATATTACCTGTTCTGTGTTCCATTTATACGTGTGTGTGTGTGTATAATATATATGTATATTGTATTTTTTTATATCTACTGTACCTATGCAGTGTTTTGTGGGCCCAGGGCATACTTGAACACAAGATAAATCTCAGTGTAGCCTTCCTGGTAAACTATTTTCTAAATAAATGTTCATACTACTGCTGTGTCTATTGGGTCTACTGTATGTATGTGCACAACTAAAATAAAGATTTATAAAATACATTATAGTTATTTAAAATTCTAAATATGCGTGTAGACTATTTTTCCTCTCTTAGTCTCATAAGCACCATCTAGAGAAGAATTTGTGAAATAGGCAAGAGGGTGTGTTTGGATTTTAGTTTCTTTCAATAAAATATATCATGTTTGCAGTTTGGTTGAGTCCTATGCACTACTTGAATTAAAGAGTTAACCAGCTTAACCTTTTTTAATCCTTTTACAATGATCAGTAGTGCAATTACTTTGAAAACATAGCTGTATCATAAATGTAAGCATATAACAATGGTTTGTCTTGCAGAGGTACAAACACTAAATTCCCATATTTAATACCTGGCTTAAATATTTGCTGAACTATCTGTTCTTTCTCACCGAGGATAGGCAAGATTATTTTCTTAATTTGGGGTCTGCTTCTCGTTTTTTGTTTTTTTTTTAATTCACAAGCTTAATTCTGTTTTGGTGCATAGATCATTGGCCAATTCTCTGCCATTTAGGAGTTAAATCACTGTTTATGCAGCCATAGCAGCCTCCATGAAAAATATAAAGTAACATTTTTACAGCACAATGGTGTTTTTATGTATGTATTTATTAATGCCTGCTTTGTTAATTAAACTTTAAACACATGCAGGAGGCTGTTATAGGCTCTACAAAGTATATAATTTTGCAAAGTCACTCTATAACATGAAGGACCCAGCAGTCCGTTAACAGAGCAAGAGATATTGTATTCTAAATGAACACACTGTGCAATAAGGGATTGTTTAAAAAATATTATATATATATATATATATATATATATATATATATATATATAATATTTTTAGATTTTTTTACTCTTCTTGGTGAATATTTGCCAGCAAAAGCACATGATATGCCACGTGTAAAGTCTGCACAGAGTTTTCTTCTTTAGACTTGCCCGATGCTTAAGACACAGCAACCACCTAATTTGTGACTTTCATCATTTTAGGTTTGTGTTTTTTATTTTTTTATCATTATTATTTATTATATTATGTTTCCTAATCAAATTGGTAGTAGTTTACTTTGAAGAACTGTGACATACCACGCCGATACATTCAAATATTATAGAGTTTGTCTTTACATGGACTGTGTCATCCACAAAACATGTGTGTAACAAAGTTTTCTTCAGTTCAAGAAAGTTGAACTATGCAATGTGATAAATCACAAGATGGTGTGTAAATTAAAGGTTCAACATTTTGGAAGATCAGTTGAAAATTTAGGGGCCATATATGTAGTTTGGCTTTCAACACAGACACTGAAGACAGGATATCCTGAAGCAAAATTTCATACATTTGTTAGTGTTCTCACTAGCTTTTTGTATAAATGGAGTTAGTTAAATGAATACTCTACGTACCATAAACGCTGCAGTGTGCAAATGAATAATGTACTTGGTTTGGTATGCTAGTACTTTAGGATATATCACTGCAGACTAGAAGTACTGCTGGTGCCTGACAGAGCAAATAAATAGTTTAATAGTTTAGCAGGAGATGGTGCCAGGGCTCCTGGTACTGTAACAACTACAGTGAGCTGTCATGGTTTATAGTGCTTAATATATGTGTTTAATGACTTTTTCCTGTCCTATATGTTCCGCAATCACAAAAAGCATTTTTAGAAACCAATGATAGAACACAATTGGCATTCAATGCTGTATTATTATTAGCTTCCTGGTGTTTTTAGCTATTCTTACTACTATTAGAATTTAATCCACGATCACTAAACAACTAATATCAACATCTTGCATGTTAGAAAATGTAGGAATCTAGTGCAAGTTTGATGTTTCACATGCTGGCTATTTCCCCTTTTCTATGAATAAACCTATATTCTCTTGTTCTGCATTTACAGGTTACCCTTATTCCAGGCAAGCGCATTTGCTTTCTTAGCGCCAGCTCGTGCTATCCTATCCCTTGAGAAGTGGAAATGTAATGCTACAGGTAAATATCCCTCTATTTTCTGCCCACTGAAGTTTCAGTCGTTTGAAGGATCCTAATGCCGTTCACGTGAGTCCCTCCTATCTTTTGTTTTCTCGGGCGTGTTTCTCGCTGGGAAAGCATAAGTTTGGAAAGTAAGTGGCGTGAGACTGAGTCTGGATTATTTTTCTTGTTGGCAGGCTGCTAATCCCTTCTGCCCCGGGGTGGAGGTGGAGGCACTTTTAATAAAGAATGTACATAATCTCCAACACTCCACACGCTTTAACCCTCTATATGTAATTCCCAACAAGCATTAACCTGTTGAGTTTAAGTGGTGCGGGGTAATTTTCCACTGTTATTCGTGGAGTTAAATCTGCAATTTCATCGTGATACATAGATTCACAGTAGATAATTAATTGCCCATTTAGTGTTATCATTATTACATTTATGACTGGTTTTGCTTTAGGAAATTCATTTTGTGTGATAGCCATTATTAGTTCTTCCCATGGAGGACTGTTCCAGGTATCTACTACTAGTTTTTTGTAAAGTATTTCTTTCACATTAGCCATCCTGAAATTATGTTCTCATATCTCTAGCAGGAATAAGTGCTAGGATAACCAGGGGTCAACTCCTGGGGAAAAAAGTGTAGGAACTCACCCAAGATCCAAACCCTCTCTCCCCAAAAGAAAATTATATTACTTATATGTATATATAAACGGGCGCACGCACACACTCACAGATGCACTCCATCAGGTGCCCCCCCATGACAGGGAGAACATAGGGACATTTGGGGGTGGCACTTTTTGCCGTCCCCTGGTTAGTGCCTGCAGGAGCAACGAAAACAGCGTTCCTGCTGTGAAAAAATTGCTCTAGCCCTGAGGATACCAGATTTTATTTTGAATGTGGGTTCAGGCAATTTACATGATGGAGGGCAGACTGTAAGCTGTGATAACGAAATACAACTCGTGCTTACTGGATGATTTAAATTATACACAAGAACAAAAGCCAGTCTTTGTGAAGAGACCTGCAGTCTTGCAAGGTCTAAAGTATTAATACAGCAGGTAAAAGCTTGAAGGAGAAGGAAACTTTACTTTGTTTCTAAGCTAAATTATCTAAACACTAAAATCTTTCATGTAGGTTATCAGGAACTCTGGGGCTCTGATTTAACTTTTCTAAGAGATAGTAACTGTAAACTTGGTAAATCCAGTAATTATCCCATTTTCCCTGTAACCACTTGATTAAAACAGATTGGAGGAGTTCAGTTTAATTGCCTTTGTTTTTATGGGGAAACACTGCCTGTTAAAAGCAAAAGGCAGGGGAGGAGAAGGTTTGCAACAAAAAAAGTTCTTGGGGTGAAATTTTTTTGCAACCCACAAGTTACATATTAAGCGGTCTACAGATCGCAGAATAAAACCTGACAATGTGGTGCAGCATTTTCTTGTTGGAAATGGAGTAAGTGTTATTATTTCTCTGATTTAGAACAGCTAAAGCATAATAAACATGTAGGCACTACACGCACAAAAGAAAATTCATTCTGTGCGGTTTCAGGAAATATTTTTTTCTATTTCTCATGCCAATAGGTCATTTTAGCGAGGCTGCCTTGTGTGCTTAACAATTGGATGAAAAGGCCGTTTCACAAAAAAACAGGATGTTTACTGAATTCACATGCCTTGTTTATATGATGATTAACCCACCACGTGCTTTCCAGTCAAGCGATTAATGTAAAAGTTATCCAACTTTTTCTTTCCAAAATACTAGCTGTAATCAAATTAAAATTATTTCATATGTAGTGCAAATTCTCCCCAATCCCAGACATTTTTTGAGTATGTATGTGTAGGAATCCTTATAAACCAAGGTTTAGTAATACTTGCAGTATCCAAAAATCTGCTTACAAAACGGTGCTTGGGTATTTTCCGCTTTCCTCTTATTTAACATATATCATGCTTTCTTTAGTGAAGAATTTTGTAACAGGTTATTTGCTCATTTGCCTCTCTTTATCTCTGTTCTTTTCTCTATCTCAGGGGTTTATGTGGCCCATGGCTACCTATGCGAGAGTAGGGAGGTCTGCATTGCTTTGGCATATCAGGGCTGTTACTGCATGCTAATTTGCTATAGAGCTTGGCTGGCTGGGGAACAATGTTTGCCGTTCAGTGTGCCCCTATTAGCTTAGTAAAGTTCTGCCGTTTTGCAGTCATACCATAACTTCAGTGATGAGTCTGGCTGGTGCACACAGATCAGGGAAGCAAACTCCACCAAGGGCTCAGCCATGTAACAGGTGCTGGGTGGGAATGTATATTATGCTTGTGTGTGTATGTAATTGTATAGCTGTGTGTGTATGGAAGTAATGATTTGTGTACAGATCTCTTCATTCATAGAAGGTAACTTGGCCTGTGGTCCAAAAATAAATGATCTTTAATGCTTGTGCTCTTCCTACTAAAGCTGAGAATTGTAATTTGCTACGATTAGTTTACCTTGCCTTGTTTTTTATAGATTTATCCATCACCAACGGAACTGAGCTGTTAAACACAGAAGACATATGGTATCCAAGGATACGAGAGGTATGTTGCTCATTAATAGGTCAACACTTTCCCCATCTGGCATCAGCTCCCAAAACTGATTTCTGGAGATTCTCTGTAGTGTCAGAATACTGGAAAAGAAGTAAAGCTGTTAATCATTTATCTTTGATGCAAAAAGCAATATGCTTGAAGGGACACTATAGTCACAGAACAGTTTATTGTATTTGTTCTGGTGGGTATAATCATTCCCTTCTGGCTTTTTCAGAGAAAAAGCAGTGTTTACATTACAGCTAAGGGATACATCCACTGGACACTCCTCAGATGGCTACTAGAGGTGCTTACTGTGGCAGTGCTGCACATTGTGCATCGCTGCCATTCAGTGTCTACACCCTATGCATGGAGACACTGAACTTTCCTCATAGAGAGGCATTGGTTCAATGCATTTTTATGAAGAGATACTGATCAACCAGGGCTGTGTTTTGCTTGTGCTGGCTCTGCCAATCCAATGCTTTCCTGTGAAAGCATTGTGATTGGCTACGATAATCACTTTTGATAATGTCAGCTAAGCAGGCAGATCAGGGATAGAGCCAGCAGCAGCAGACTACAATAAAGGTAAGATTTAGCTATATTTAGGGGGGCCCGATGGTTTTAACGCTTTAGGGTCAGGAATACATGTTTGTGCTCCTTTAAGTGATATGAGTAAACTTTAAGCTGTTGAAGTACCATAACAACTTTACATAATTGCAACTGTAATCGTTCAGGGCGTATCCTGCACCATTCCTTCCTTCTTGGAGTATTATCTTGCTGAAAAGTGTATTGGGAATAATGCCACCAGGGAGACAAAGGCATTATTTGATAAATACTTATATATGACTACTGATATGGAAAAATCAACCAATAAATTGATTATTTCTTTGTGTATCTGCCCCTGGCCAAATTAATGAAACAATGCGTGCACGCTCCCTGAAGTAATTCACACCAGACACAGGTTCCAGGTTGTTGAATAACTTGAGGAAAGTTTATTCAGAGGGGACGGCAATTCCCTTTTAAAGCAAAATTACATCATAGGTACTGTCAGAGATAACATGGAATAATACATCAATAATTGGTTAGGTGTTAAGTGGTCTTCCTAATGCTCTGCCTACTAAGGGTGATGTCACTGGGACCATGAGGGTCTCCCACGGTTTCCCGGCGCCATCTTGCTGCACGAGGTAGTTAGTCGATGTTATTGGGGAGGAGGGGTTAGAAGCCATCTTGACTAAATATGCGTGTATAGCTTATATACTGTTTTTTGTGAGATGAGTAAATAGACATTTTACTAACTAGGAAATATATCAAGACCTTATTTCCACAACAACTCCTGACCATGTGTGGTTCAAGAGCAGAGATGTACTGGGGTTTAAATTTATAATCCAAATAAGAAATTAAATCTAAAAAGACAATATAAATGTTTGGTTATGGTTATTCCTAGTCTACTGCTTGACTCATATTATTGAATAAAGCCTGCTGTGTTTGTTTTTTCTGGCCTGGCAAGAATTTGCTATACTTTTTTTTTTTTAACAGCATACAGTTGGTGGTACAAACATTGAGTTGTGTACCTTTTAAAAATAAGTCATTGGCATGCTTGGCGTTATAGAATACCTTGGGCTCTATTCTGGTGACTTAATGTTGAGCGGCTCTAACTTAACATTGGTGGTGGTCATTTTGAAGTAGTGTTCAGATAAAAATATATTTTTGGATGAAACAGACATATCCTCGGATTTTGAATGGTTCCTGTCTATGTAGAGGGAACAACGCAGTACCAAAGGATTACCCCCCGCCCCCGACTTCTTCTGTATTTAAAATGGCTACAAAGAAAGATTGTAATGGTGACAACAAAGCCAAGAGAAAGAAGGTTAAATATATAGAGAAATCTAAAGAAGATAAAAAACAAGCTTCATTATATTCACAGAGTACTACTAAGAACCTTCTGATGGACGTATCACTAAATACTACTGATACCTCAATTATGGTCGGAGAAAGAGACGCTGAAAAATCAATATTAGAAAATCTAGTTTAACCTGATTCACAGGCTATAACTATGGATTCCTTAATACTAAAGGAACACTAAAGAAATAACCTCAGAAGTAAAACATCTGGAATACAAAATTTAAAAAAAATTAAATTCACCTGATGCAATTCCAAACAAAGCCGAATAGAGCAGAGAGAACTATTGACTCTGAATTCCAAACTCAAATTGTTAGAAACAAATCTGGAAGAAAGGCAAAGAAGGATAAATGTGCGGATAAGAGGCATTACTGAAGATATACCCCAGCAAGATCTGGAAGCTTATATTACTTAAATTTGTGTCGCTCTAAAAATTGAAGGTCAAAATCAAGATATTCTGTTCGAACGTATACACTGAATCCAGACACAAAACGGTATTTCTGACCGCATTCCCAGAGATACTATCATCAAATTTAATTCATATAAATTTAAAGAAACATTCCTGCTTGCTTTTAGGGATCTGACAACTGCCCTAGAAAAATTCTGACACCTTAAATGGTTTCCAGATCTATCTAGAACTACAAGAGAATTCAGAAGATCTTTCCATGAAGTCACCACGTCTGAGATCCAAAAATATAAAATATCGATGGGGCTTCCCAGCCAAACTGATAGTCTTTTTTGAAAATTCTTCTATTGTTTCCGATTCTGTACAAAAGGCATCACTTTGGCTAAGCAGGAATTACCCGGTTGAAGGTTTTAGACCGGATTGAGTTTCCAGGACGGGAGGGAGGAAACTGGTTTAAGGAAAAACAGAACTAAGATCCTCCTACAATATGTTTTGTATTTTCTTACTGTTTGTTCCAGTCCTCTTTCCACTCCAGTTATAATCTGTTTAAGAAAACACTAGAAAGAACAGGGCGCCACAATCACTATATTGGTATATAAAAATAATGGTATGAAAAGACGTATTGATGATAAAGCAAAAACAGCAAAAGTTTATTAATGAAGAAATATATAAAAAAAAAAAACAGTCAAAGCACAACATATGTGCAAGACATCAAGAGTATAAAAGCCACAATGGACAAGGAACCCTTAGGTATAGCAGTTTTACAGGACATGATACTGAGCTGGGCAGTAAAGTGCAAGTGCTAAAGTGCAAGATGCCTATAAGAAAAGTGCACTAAGCCAATCACTTATACAAGTTTAGTACAATCAGCCTAAAGTAAATACTGCATAAGCAGTATATAAAATCAGCACACATACAAGATAAAAACAGCTGATACCAAAGTACAGGGTCCCAGATCGTGCTCAACGCGTTTCGTCGTCTGACTTCCTCAGGAGTTTCTTCTCTCTTCAGTCTTCTCCCCTTTTAAATCTGCCGGTCCATCCGACCGCCTCCGTGATCACGCATGCGCGTGCCCATGACGCACGCGTGACCGCCACGCGCATGTGCGACCACGCTGGAACGCAGGATAACTTTATTGATCCTCTACACAGCCGCAATATGAACGCTCTACAAACCAGAGCATTCAAATCAATGCAGACCGTGTGTACAAACCTGCCTACCCCCCAGCTGACCCCTAACATAAAAATACTACTCACTCAAGCGAAATATAAATAGGACTGGTGGGGAAAAAAGGGTGTGAAAAGAAAGGAGAGTTAAAAAAAAAAAAGGATCAAAACAAATAATTAAAACAAATATTTAAAAATGAGTAGAGCTCTCCTTTCTTTTCACTCCCTTTTTTCCCCATCAGTCCTATTTATATTTCGCTTGAGTGAGTAGTATTTTTATGTTCGGGGTCAGCTGGGGGGTAGGCATGTTTGTACACACGATCTGCATTGATTTGAATGCTCTAGTTTGTAGAGCGTTCATATTGCGGCTGTGTAGAGGATCAATAAAGTTATCCTGTGTTCCAGCGTGGTCGTGCATGTGCGTGGCGGTCACGCGTGCGTCATGACGTATGACGGCGTGCGTGACGGTGCGCACGCATGCGTGATCACGGAAGCGGTCGGATGGACCGGCAGATTTAAAAGGGGAGAAAACTGTGAAGAGAGAAGAAACTCCTGAGGAAGTCAGACGACGAAACGCGTTGAGCACGATCTTGGTCCCTGTACTTTGGTATCAGCTGTTTTTATCTTGTATGTGTGCTGATTTTATATACTGCTTATGCAGTATTTACTTTGGGCCGATTGTACTAAACTTGTATAAGTGATTGGCTTAGTGCACTTTTCTTATAGGCATCTTGCACTTTAGCACTTGCACTTTACTGCCCAGCTCAGTATCATGTCCTGTTAAACTGCTATACCTAAGGGTTCCTTGCCCATTGTGGCTTTTATACTCTTGATGTCTTGCACATATGTTGTGCTGTGACTGTTTTTTTTTTTTGTTTTTGTTTTTTTATATTTCTTCATTAATAAACTTTTGCTGTTTTTGCTTTTCCATCAATATTTATTTTCATACCCTTATTTTTATATACCAATATGGTGATGGTGGCACCCTGTTCTTTCTAGTGTTTTGTTTTTGGTAATTGGAGTTGGAGTGTCCTCTATACCGAGGCTTGCCTGCACTTGGTTTTCTGTTACTGTCCACCCACCCACCTTTCCATTTCTTTCTTTATAATCTGTTTAAGGCTTTGTATCTAGTTAATTAGCCGATTATGCTCTAGAATTTATGTTCTAAGGATTTATACCTGTTATATAGAAAGGAAAGCAGGTTTATAGTAGGATACTTGATGCCCTGTGAGGTAATTATTACTTTAGTATCATCACCCAAAGGTATAAACTGAACTAATTAAAGTAATGATTGGTTATGAAACAGCACAGAGGTTGGAAGGGTGATACGAATTTAAGAATAAACGTCCTTAAAGGCATAAAAACTTGTAGTTAAAAGAGTGGGAAGAAAAAGAGAAATATAGAGGATGGGAGAAGGAAATGGAGAGGGGGAGGGAACGCAGGGGAAGGTGAAGGGGAGGAGTGTAAGAGTTAAAATATCTTTTTAAGCTAATTGCTGATGATATTGGAAGCATAATGTGTAGATTAACTTTTATATCTTTGTGAATCCACATATGTTGTGTTCTGTCTTGTACTGTCGTGCACTAATTTCCCCTCATATTTCTTGTTTAGATACAAGGTGCCATTATTATGTCCTCTTTGATTGAAGTGGTCATTGGCTTCCTTGGGCTCCCTGGAGCCTTGCTTAGATATATTGGACCCCTGACCATTACTCCCACTGTTTCGTTGATTGGCCTCTCTGGGTTCCAGGCTGCTGGGGAGAGAGCAGGCAAGCACTGGGGCATCGCTATGCTGTAAGTATCAATATTTGTATCGGCTCTCAGCTCTTATAGCTGCAAGTTTGAAAACCTGACTACAACTCTCCTAAAGCAGATTGTCCCTAAAAAATGCCTACTTTAAATGTTATTCATTTATTTAAATGCTAGGAACACATTTTATTTACATTTTCTGCCTTTTGTTCTTTAAACTTTTTCCTAGCATGCTGCTGGGTGGCTACTCATATCGATTTCATTTCTAGAGTTGTTGAGTGCAGGGTACTGCAACGGCAAAGGTCATTGGAGCTGTAAGCCTATTCTGTGCTTTTTGTCAAGTGATATGCTTATGCAAATGTGCTTAACTTGAATAGGATCTTCTATATTTCTATGACACCCGTCTGTGGCCTTGTAGAGCAGAGGCATGCAACCTTCATCATTGCAGATGTTGTGGGCTATATTTTGCTAATGTTCTCACAGCCACAATGCTGGCAAAGCATCAAGGGAGACGTAGTCCACAACATCTGGAATGCAGAAGATTGCATACCCCTGTTGTAGAGCCTCATTCACGAATAACCTGAATAAAGATGTTTGTCAAGCTCGTTGAAACTCCAATACAACTTGGTAACTTCAATGGGTAAATAAAAATTTGTATAGCTACCTCAAGCACCACATTTATTTATTAATTTGTCTTTTTGTCAAATGTAGTAAAGCATTTTTATGATTGTGTTTATTTTAGCAAACTGCTCCCATTTGGAAACTCCCCTCCCCTGCTGTCCACCAGAAGGTGGAGTACAAGTGTAAAAAAAAAATTCTAGCCAAATGTGCCCCTCCAGTCTTCAGCTGCGCTGTATACAGGTGTTTGTGTGGTTTGCTTCCTGTCCAGTGGTGTGTTGGTTCACTGCAAATACCCAGCACACTGGCATGCCTTCTCTAGGAGTCAGCAGTAAATGTGCTTTGTCATTAAACTGTTCCCTTTTATCTCTACTATTCAGGAAACTTCCTGATTGCAAGTCAGTGCCTATTTCTTGCTTAGTAGATGACATTTTTAGATCTTTGCTGCTATTTCTTGCACTATGGAGAACTGGAAGATGTGTTTTTCCTCTTTGATCATAATAGAGAAAGCAATAAATTAACCTGTCAGTTACAAAAGAATGTAACTTACATGTTTGCTGCCAGTCAATTAAATCAAGCACAGTAAGTCTTTTTGTAAATCCCCAGCACCCTAGGAATGCAGGAATTAGAAACCTAGAACAGATTGTATGTGTTAAGTTACAGCAAGTAGTAAAAAAAAATTACCCTTTTCCTCTGTTAAGGAAATGATGAGCATGTACTCAAATATTCATGACAAATTTGACTAAGAACACAAATCTGTTCTGTAAACAAACACCCATACCTATGGTGACATGAACTTAGCAACACAATTCACACAAGCGGGACAGAGTCCTGCTAATGGTTATTCAATATCATGTTATCCTGCTGCTGTGATTTGGGTTTTAGTAGTTCTTCAGGTTCATGTTGTGGATTAATAAGGGCATTTCAATGCTGATCTTTTCCTAATCTTGTGTTGCCCTCACTGTCGAGTTTTTTTTTATTTTACCTAGCTGCTTCCAAGTTCTGTTCCAACTGTGCTTGCTCATTGCATGATTGTTATTGGCTTCTGTGCATTTTTCTCTTGATCTAACAGGATATCTGGCCTCCAAAAGAGGGTGAGAGGTTTATTACTTCCAGGTGTAAATGAGGATATTCATATATTGTAGCTTATTGTTCACGCCACTTTAGCACCAGCTGTTTCTTGTGGGTTTTTTTTCTTTATGTATTTTTTTATTTTGCCATTATTCGTGAAGGTACATTCTCTTCCTGTGACGTTAAATACTTTAATAAATTAATAAGTTTGTCTTTGCCGTGAACTCTATGCCTCGGTATCCTACCTGTCATTTTATGTTTCTAGTTAATCACCATAAATAATTGTCTCTCCAGTTTGCTCTGTTGGCAAATGTAAGTTAATTAAATCCACCATAAAATAACACAAAATATCACTGATTTTGCATTCATCAGTCTAGTGCAATGACATTCAGATGCAGTAAACTGGTCAAATCCTTAAAAGCCTAGATAAATATAGGGGAAAATGTCAAGATGCAGCAACTCTAATTAAAAGCTTTAAATGTGGGAGCATGCCAGCAACCCAGACTGGTGGTAGTGGCCAAAAGTAAAATAGTGACTGTAGCCTTTATGTGGCGGTTTACTCTGTCTGTGGGTCTAATAATGAGGAGTCCTGTGATACAATACACTGTCCTTGTTTCGCATAAAGCTTTATTTCCTCATGACATGACTTCTTGTGGTTGGAGGAAGAGTCAGTGAAAGTAGAAAAGGGATAAATGAAGAAATTATATGGGTGGATCAGTGTAAAAGAGAAAAAAACTAACGAGCTTAGTGATGGAAGAAATAATAAAGTGGCATATAGGTGAAGAAAGGAGTAAGGTTGGTGCACAAAGGGCAAAGCGATAGATAATAGGGGTAGAGAAGGGACCATGCTACAGTACACATTCAGCACAAACTTGTTTATAAGCAAGCCTTTCCTAAAATAGTTTTTAAGCAGAAAATGATTTGGGAGCCCCTAGTGCATGTAATGTGGCTAAAACATGTGTACAGTACTGAAACCAGCATTGGTTTGTTTTTTTGGATGGGTGGGGTGTTCATGTATTGTGCCCTCGGCCAATGAGCTCCATCCTGTATCACCCGTGCTCTATTCTATAGACACATCTGGCTTCTCCTGCAGGAAAAAAAAATAAGACGTGCCATGGGCACCCAGGTACATTGTTTTTAAACCACACTAAACTGGTTCGACTACTTTTCATAAGACAGTGGCAATGCACTCCTTGCAAGAAAGCCACCAAACCAAGTCTAATTTCCACATTGTCAATGCAACTGGTTTGTGTTAGGACCTCCAGGGTGCTGCAGAGAGTCCTTTTTTCATTGAAATTACTTCTAAACGGATTGACATAAAGTTGGGGGATGATGCCCAGTGACAAAATAGCCACTACTCTTAACCAAAGCAATTATGTTGCTTATAGTGTCCCTTTAAGTAAGTGCTTTATTAAAGGACCACTATAGTGCCAGGAAAACATACTCGTTTTCCTGGCACTATAGTGCCCTGAGGGTGCCCCCACCCTCAGGGTCCCCCTCCCGCCCGGCTCTGGAAGGGGAAAGGGGTAAAAACTTACCTTTTTCCAGCGCTGGGCGGAGAGCTCTCCTCCTCCTCTCCGCCTCCGTTACGCCCCGCCGGCTGAATGCGCACGCGCGGCAAGAGCTGCGCGCGCATTCAGCCGGTCTCATAGGAAAGCATTTACAATGCTTTCCTATGGACGCTGGCGTGCTCTCACTGTGATTTTCACATTGAGAAGCACGCAAGCGCCTCTAGTGGCTGTCAATGAGACAGCCACTAGAGGATTAGGGGGAAGGCTTAACCCATTCATAATTATAGCAGTTTCTCTGAAACTGCTATAATTATGAAAAAATGGGTTAACCCTAGAAGGACCTGGCACCCAGACCACTTCATTAAGCTGAAGTGGTCTGGGTGCCTAGAGTGGTCCTTTAACCATTGCTAGCCTTCAATATAAACTATTTGAAGTCTGAATGTGAAATAAAATATCCTAAACACTGGTTATTGCGGGAATGATATCCAGGTTTTATAATATTGCATTATACTTACTGGTTTATTCACTAAACCAGATATTGTGGAGAACTGCCATGGCAATTGCAACTTTTAGGCCAAAATACACAACAGAAAATATATAAAATATAGCTAATCTTCAGACTTTTTTTTTCTAGTTTGGCTAATTTGGCCTATAGCTGTGTTTGCACAAGTTAAACTCTGCGTTTACAGAATATTTGCTCTGCTGAGCGGTCTATTTAAGACTTTAATCCCTCCTTGACATAGGAGTTAAACATTTTCTGATTCCTGAATTTGTGTTTTCTCCTCACTGAGCTTTCGGTGACTGTGCCGCTACAGGTCAGATCTCTTAAACTGCATTTTATTTCTTCAACAGAACCATTTTCCTGGTCCTTCTTTTCTCTCAATATGCTAGAAACGTCAAGCTGCCTCTTCCGATCTATAAATCCAAAAAAGGATGGACAGCATACAAGTTCCAGCTTTTTAAAATGTTCCCGGTGAGTTACACTTTAGGGGCAGATATTTGAAGACAGTTGTCCAGTTAAGTTCAAACTATTTTGTCATAAATGTTGCCACTCTTGTCAGCCCAATGTGGACTGTTAAGTTAATAAATTATTCACTATAAAACAGTGACATCAAAGTTGTTCAGTTAAATTTTCTGCTAGCACGTGCCAAAGTGGTATTAAGACTTCCAGCTGTTTATAGGTTTATACAGCACATAACTAGAGCAAGACATACATAATGTTGTTCTTTTAGAATATTTCACTTATGCCCTTATTTGTGTTTAATCCTTTCTACCAAGTACTTTTTTGTTTTAAAAATTGGAATAGCCTGCATATAAAAGTGCAAAATGCAACCATAATTTTTGTCATATACAGTAGATGTAAGAACAACAAATGCATTGGTTAAATACCCTGTTTATAAGTATTTGTAAAATGCCTAATGCCATCATTCATATTAAAGTAAATAAAAATGTCTGCATCATGACAATATACAATTACTATAGTTTCATAGCGTGGTCACATTTTAGATTTCCAGTCCCATATTTTTGTTGGCCTTAGCAGTCATTTGCGTGTTCTGTTCTGTCAGTATAAAGTGGTAGTTTCTTCAAAGAGCTCTATAGAAGTAGTGATTGGCCTGCATGTAATACACTGTTGCTCCCATTTTCAGATCATTATGGCTATCCTTGTTTCCTGGCTGCTTTGCTTTATCTTTACGGTGACTGATGTTTTCCCACCGGACAGCACCAAATATGGGTATTATGCACGGACTGATGCCAGACAAGGGGTATTGACTGTGGCCCCGTGGTTTAAGGTGCCTTACCCATGTAAGTATTTTTTATGCTCTCTGCCTTTTGCTTGTTGGAAAGGATAAATATTACACACTGACTTGAAGAGTGTATTCGTAAAACAATGCACATATATCTGTAGTTCAGGGATAATCCATAAGAATGTGCTAATTACATATACCCAAAAGCCATACGCCATTAGATAGATTTAATTATAAACTAGTCATTGAAATTGTTGGGGCTTACACACAGTGTGGCTGTTTTTCACATCTAAACACTCAGAACTCCCCACAAAAAAAATGAGTTCTATAGCTTTATTTAAATCCTCACTAAAGCCATTGGGGTGCACATAGCCTTATGCTGACTGGGTAGCACACCCTTGAGATTTTATTAAAAACTAGTAGAGATGTATAGTGTATACTAGGTGGCCTTAGCTTCTTAGTCTGTATATTTTAAAACAACCTCTTACTTGATAGTCCTATGTCTTAATACTCTGTTAAGGCAACACAAAACAAGTTCACCCGTGTCAAATCTGCAGGCAGATTTAATGGAACAAAAAAAAGCAACGTTTCGAACTACTTCAAGGTCTTTTTCAAGCTAGCTAGCTTTGAGTGCCAGGTGAACTTTTTTTTGTGTTGACTTAACGTGATGGGATTGCTGGTCCTGCTCTGGAGCCCAGGTGGCTGCTGAGATTGAGTGTGTGGTTCCTATAATCACTTTTTTAATACTCTGTTCGTCTTGGATCACAGAGAGGATTGGTTTTGTTTTGGAATATTGGTCCTGGAGATACATGATGAAGTCTGTACTTCTTGTTTATATTAACAAGCACTGTTCCACAATGAATTGCATTGGTGGAAAATTATGATCTGTTTCCCATTCTGCATAAAGCAATCCACTAAAAAATAAAATAAAAATTACAAAGCCACATTTTTAATCATGATATAGGAGCTGGAGTGAATCCTCTTGATTTAATGAAAATTCACTAGTGTGAAGATATTCCTGTATTAGGTACATTTCCCAGCTAATTGAGAGCAACACAATGAGAAGACTTTGTATTACATTTTTGCTGAAGCAGACACCAATCCTTGTAGCACTTATCACTCACTAACATTACTAATCATAAAGAGCCACTAAACAAGTGGTATTCAAAAACCAGACCAACATTTGTAAGTGAACTTCAGCCACTGTAAACTTTTGCCATCCAGAGACACCGCATCAAATGCCTTGCAAAGGTATATGGGAGGTAATATTCTCTGACACTGGGTGGCTGATACCTGAATACCCCTGCACTAAACTTTAACTTTAGCTTCCGTTTGAGAAGAAAGTTATTTTTTAGAATGCTTTTGGCATTTTTAAGCCACACGCTGCTTATTCCAGCTAGAGATGAAAATTTAGTAAACATTTGAAGGCAATGTTAACTATATCTATTATGATTTTAAGTGAAAACATAAGTTTAAGTCGATGTGGCCAGCTTGTCCTGTCAGTTGGCAACTACAGCTTCTCATAAGTGAGCTGTTCAGTACAAGTTATTTTTTGTTTTGGTTTTATTTCTCTCTTTATTAAAAAAAAAAAATAAAAAAAAATTCCAAGAGCATTTAAAAAAATATTTCTTTTCTTATACAATAGAAGCCAAAGTTAAATTTCTAAACTTATTGGGCTTTTTTTTATTTAGTATTTTTTTTTTTTTTTTTTTTTAAATCCAACAAAATTCAATCTGTGGTTATATTTTGTTTGATTGTTCCCTGTACATGAAATGTAGCATGTTGTCCTTCACGTACACAAAGCCTGTCTGCAGAGCCCATGTGGCAGCACAGCAGTGGGGTTAATGAATGTGCTTCCTTTAGGTAGCACTCTGTGTACACTGCTCTGACATTCACCTGTGTGTTTTATTTACATATATATATTTAACCCCTTTCATACTGGAGGGAACAGCGGCACATTGAATGGCAGTGCTTTGCTGCTTCCTCTGGCAGAGAAGGATCTTTGCTGGAAAAAAAAAAAAAAGGAGAATTTGCAGACTCGTTCTTTTAGAAATCATCTTGTACTTTTCCCATTGCAGCGTTTAATATCCCCCATTCGTGGCTCGGGATTTTCACGCAGCCCTTTCCCTCCATTAGAGCAGTGTACACAGGGATTTACGTTTCTTGTGTTTACGAACTGTGGTATCAGGACGCATCATTCTAGGAAAAGGATTCTTGGGTAAATCAAGGTAACATTGTGCATTCCCTCCATTATTGTTTAATGTTCTCCTGGTCACCCAGGGAGATCTGTTTAAATAAAAGCACAGTCTAACTTGTTCATGAAGTGGGAAAAAAAATAAAAAATAATTTTAGTCACTAAACAGCTCTGATTTTATTTTTCTTGTAATAATCATGTTTTTATTTTCATTGGAATAAAACAGTCTATTTTATACCTATTTTGTTTTGAAATCCCTGTTGTGCATTGGGTTCTATGCTGTTACTAGTGTTTATGATAGTAGAACACACCATCTTGGGGTAATACAAAAAAAATCTAAAGGATTTATTTACTAAACTGTGAGTCTTTTGAAATAACAGCTACTTGACCAGGATTAAGAGAGGAAAATGCAGTAAAATGAGCTTGTATTTAGTGAGCTCCGCGCAAACCGTAAATACTGTCTACAAATTAGATTTCTGATACTACTATCAAGATATACATCATTACCGGAAAAAATAACCTAATATATAGCAGCAACTCTCTGCTGTCATATGCGTGTTTATGGACACATAACAAGAATCTTTGCTGTCCGTATCCACTTTGCTTTAGTTTTACCTGTTCTATATGTATGAGACCATGCTATAAATATGTATGGTTCATATTGCTAGTGAACTCCTCTTGAGGTTTTACTTTGCAAGTTTTAGGAAGATGTTTACTTGTTAACTCACAAGAACTCACCATTTAGTGAATAAGCATCTTAATCAAACAATGTCTGTTGTCTATTTAATGTTAATGATACTTGAAGTGCAGGTTTTATACTCCTTCTCCAGCAATGTTTTAACGCTGTGGAGTTGGGATAGATGTAAGGGATTTGCTTTTATATACAGTCAGCTCTTCCCCAGGAAGATGGGGATAATGTACTCCCCAACTCTCTGCTAAATGGCTTGTCTTATAAAAGAGTTTACAGTGGTTTCAAGCTTTGGTAGGTTGGTGTATAAAAGCTTACACTGTCGGCATAAGTATTCATTCTCTAAAGCTTCTCTAATATTCATTGTTGTGCAATCTTGCATTTAAATTAATTTTGATGCATTTGACATTCACAATATTCTTTTGTATACATAATTTACATTTCATAGCTTTCTTTGATCTGCTGACAATTTGGTCGTTAAATATTTGTCTCACCAAGGAAACTGAAAGCTTTTTATGAAAACAATAGATTATCGTTAACAAGTCAAATGATGTAAGACGTTTGCAAGTATTTATATTTATCCCTCAAGCAGTTCTTGCTTGAAGTCCCTATTGCAGCAATTGCATGGTGATATTGAACAGCTTTGCATATTTGGATCTTGATTCTTGGATCTTTGTAAGAACATTATGAAAGATGTAGTCCACATCTGGAGTGGTAAACGTTGCCTACCATAGACTAGACCATTATGGGATTTATGGTGTCTTTTTTTCCCGCTTTCATTAAACTCTTGCATCTCTACTGCCTATGCAAATTGGAGATTCAATCCCTGGCACTTTTATTGTTTAATCATTTAGAGCTAAAAAAAGAAGTGAAAACCAATATGATTGGCAATAAGACTGTTTGTTTCTTCTCCAGCAATAAGCTACATGTGTCTCGCCTTTGTTAAATACATAGGTATTCATATTATAGTCAACATCATGTAAATTAATATTTTTCCAGGTTATGTTGCCTATGGATATTAACTTTGATTACAGCTGTATCTCTTCAAACATCATCCCCTTTGAGATTGGCAGCTTGGTTGCATGGAAGACTAAAGCTCTCACTACCGGTCACAACGTTTTGGTGGGCAACCTTCTCTTAGTAGGGTTGGCTATGCTGTACAGTTTTAATTTACTAACCAGTGTATATCACTGCCCATGAGGATGTTTGATATTTGATTAGAAGCTCTTCAACAAACTCTGGGACTGTGCACTGCGTAATTATGTGTAAGTCGATTTGTAGAATGTTTTTCTTCCTCTATTTTTCTGGTAATGAACGGCTTGGGTGTAGACCACTGCCAAAAAAACTATAATTAAATGTATTCTGATTCCAGGTTTCTCACAAAATGAATGTGGTAAGCCAAAAGGGAATGAATACTTATAAATGTACCAAGGGGACATATTCTGCAATACATTATATTTATACTCATAGAGTGGTTAGCCACAATAATTAATTATACATAAGATATTTGTGGATGACTGAAAAGTAATCAGTAGTGCTTGAAATGTCTTTTACAGAATTTTCAAGAACAAAACGATTATTCCCCTTAGACCTCTGTATTTCATGAATATAACCCTTTGTGCTCCTGTGTACACAAGCAAGAAGCCAATACGATCACACAATATCACAATCCTTAAATTCCTTGTTCATTATCCTCTGAGTGAATCAGTAACTGGTTTTCAGATGTCACTGCCATTAGTTTAACTTTCCATTGACTGTTGGCTTTGCTAGTTAAGGCCATGTTCACATGGGCAGATTTGTTTTCATAAAAATTACACTTTAGAAAAAATGCATCACCCATAAAATACAATCATCTAAAAAAATATGCTCTACCCTGCAGGCAGCCATCCACCCAGCCTCCACTGTTTCCAGATCAGTAAGAGGTATTTTCATTATGAGAGGTTTTTGCTTATGCAGAACCTCTTTTCCAGCAGCTGTATAGTGTGGTATTTTTTGATTATATAAATAAAAGGGCTGTTATTTAATTCCATCATGTGAAGGACCTTGACTGCAAGGAGGGTATAGGAGAAGTACCCTGTCAAAATACCTTATGTGTATTATCCTGTAATTTTACAGTACTTTGGTTTTGTTGCAAAATAAAAGTAAATTTTTTATTTTATTTTTATTTTTTGAGCAATTTTGAATTGTTTTCTCCTGAAGAACCAGTTTCTCCAGAGCTTTACATTTCAATTTTTTTGCCCCTGTGGACATATCTAGTTTTATTTATAAACCACTGATATATGTTAGCCAGATTTAGAAGTGTGCATGTATTCAACTAAAACCAATTTTCTGCTACAGAAGAGAAAAAAGTCATAGCCATGTATTTATACTCATGAGATATCTGTTTTATGATGCAGGGAGCTGGAACCCTTTGTATATAATTGATAAAAATGTTCTTTATGATGTGATTGCCATATTTTGTTTTCTCTTCTTTATCAAGAAAACTAATTTGCTTGCTTCTTTTGATGCTAAACTCTATTTGTTTTTGGTTTCCTGCCCCCTCACAGTTCAGTGGGGTCTTCCCACTGTGTCCGCAGCTGGTGTCATCGGAATGCTGAGCGCTGTGGTAGCAAGTATCATTGAATCTATAGGGGATTACTATGCCTGCGCGAGACTCTCTTGTGCACCTCCACCTCCTATCCATGCTATCAACAGGTAAGTCTGTATTTGATTACCTCAAAATAGCGGTTTCTGGATAATAGTCCACTCTTCTACCTTGCATCTACATCCTCCTCACTAGCCAGCCATTTATGGTAAAGTCATCCATTCAATGCAACAGTGTTCACTCCCATTTAGCTACAACCATCCATGTTCACCTATTTCTTAAAGGGACACTGTAGTCACTATAAGCATTTCATCTCTTTGAATTGGTTATAGTGCCTGGAGTACCCTGGCACTGTCCCTCCATTCAGTGTTGCACCATGTTCGTGCAGTATGCCACAAAATAAGAGTCCCTGGCCACCCACAGTCCGGCCCCTTCAGTATGTGTAGCTAAGGCAGAGATTACACACTTCCTTGTTGTCATACCCACTCATACCGTCAGTTGGAACTCTGACAGGCTAAAAGCAGTCAGCTGGCACTCTCAGCCAATCACAGCTGCCCATTTCTGCTCAGGCTAATACTTCCTTATTAGCCAAAGCAGCACAGAGGGGATATATTGCCGGGGACTCTTGTTTAGCAATAAAACATTAAAACTTTAAAAACTGTTTAATGCTGAAAAAAATGATGGTACCAGAGGCCTCCAGACACAATAACCAGTTTAATGAGATGAAGCAGATACAGTGTCTACGGTGTCCCTTTAAGTCCAAACTTTCATGCCCCTCTTCTGCCATATTCCCAAACTACTACTGTCCCAATCCAACATGTCATGCAGCCATGCACCCCCCATTTCCATTCAGCCACCAATGTATTCTGCAGCTATGATGCTCATTCCTCAGAGTCAAGTTTGTCTCCTATCCCAGCCATCCGTTTTTCCACAATCTGCAAAGTTCTGCCATCACAAAATATATTCTAAATACGTGCTTGATTTTCCATTTACAAGTCCTTAGGTGAAGCAGAATGGTGCTTGGGCTGTGGAGGCAACACAGAGTAGAAGGCGTATAAATTGTCTAAATGTCCCTCGTGTCTCTGGTAGGGACGTGGTTGACAAAAGGAAAGTGGAAAGAAATGACACTTTTTGTTTTGCTGCATGTTGGAACCCATATCTACTTAAGTCCTAAGAGCAAATCATCATGTAATGAAGGCATAAGAAGTAATTTGGAAGGGTTGAGGGGATAATAATTTGTTATATTCAGTGTCGTGCTTATACTATTAGAGAAGGTTCAAGGGTGGCCATGTCTGTATTGAGTTTTAGTGGTCTTTTGGCTTCCATCAGCTTTACCCAATGTAGACCTTGTGCAAACCTCAGATACATTCTCGGCAGCTAAAATGCTGTCGACATTGATAGTCTCCCACAAAATACATGTAATGCAGTGTGTTCTCTGTTCTTAATGTGACAGGGGGATCTTCATTGAAGGCCTGTCCTGTGTCCTAGATGGAGTGTTTGGTACTGGGAATGGATCAACATCATCCAGTCCTAACATTGGAGTGTTGGGTATAACCAAGGTAAGGTCTCCTCCTATGGAATTTGCAGGATTATTGGTGTTACCCAGGAAAATTGAACTGTTTATTTGAGGTATTGTAAAATGGGGTAATTTAGTGACAACAATAACGCCAGGCTTCGTAGGGAGTAATAATTCTTCACAGTGGAAGCCTGATGCTTTCACTTCTTAAGGTTTCATTAACTAAACAGTTAAGGTGCGTTGAGAACTGTTTGGGAATTGCTCTGTACCTTTTCTTTCTTGCGATTTTTACCAACTTGTTCTCTACATTTAATAGATTGTACATTTGAAATAATTTGAAACAGCAAATTGCTCTAGAGATCAGATAGCGCCATCTGGTGACATATGTTTGAATTAACATGGTGAACAAAATGTGCATTAAACAGCCACTTGTAAGAAATTAAAAACAAATTTGGAAAATTTAGGCTAAGCATTTTTAATCTTACATTGATATTTAAGTGACAAACTCCACTATGATTTGAATAAATTCTAAGCTACAGTCCCAAACATTGTCTACATAGCAAAAGGGGAGGAATCTGCAGAATGAATCTGCAGTGCATAACAAAAGCATTTCTCCCTATTCACAAAAATTGGGTAAGGGTGGGAGATGTCTGCTGCTGGTGCAAGTTGAGGGATGGAATGGAAGGAATTATTACAAAGAAAGGTTGAGAGCTTACATCTCCCTGTAACATTAAAACGACACTTTTAAGGTGCCAAAACAACTTAATCTAAATTAAGTTATAGTGGCAGGAGGCCCCTGGATGCATTCGTTAAATCACTCTTGAATGGTTTAAACCCAAAGTTGCCCCCAGTGGCAATGTCCACTCCACCCCTGGCAAGGGCACAGCTCATTGGCTGAGGGCGGACAGCTGACGCTATGAGCCAATCAGTGACTCCCCATTTACTAAACTAGCTTGGAGAGAATCATACCTTTCTCAAGCCAGTTTAGTGCATGGGGAGACCCCTGCCCACCGGCGCTCTGCTCTGCATGAATCTGACAATTCAAAAGCCAGGTGCCGCCGGGGAAGGAGCGGATATCGTCGCTGGAGATAACTTTAGTGTTAAACCGTTGGAGAACAGTTTAACCCATTAAGGTAAGAGTGCCTCTGGGTGCTTCCTGGCAGCATAACTTAATTTAGATGAAGTTGTGTTGGTGCCTGGAGTGTGCCTTTAATACCAAGATCGGGTTTATAGTTACATTGCACAATGTCTGCACTTTAAAACAATGTGTGTCTTGCCTGTTAATACGACTGAGCTCTTTGCTGTTTGTCTCAGTGCCCAGATGACAACTGGGACTGTATAACAAGGTAAATAGATAATTATTTAACAAAGATGTACCAGTTCATAAAAATGTGACCCAATAAAAATAAATTAGACACTTGTTTTGCTACAAGTTGCAAGACAAGGTACTTTGGAAAAGATTGTGGTTAAAATAGATGGTAACAAATATTTTGCCCGGAGTGAAGGAGTAGCTATCATGCATTAAATACGGACTTTTAATGAGTTCTAGCGGGGAATGCATAATCCTATCCTAGCATAATCCCCAAATAATTAAACTTTTTTTTTTTTTTTTATTCCCCCACCTTGTGATTAGCTCTTTTAGTAGTTTTGAAGGGACACACAACACAAGAGAAAGCAGAGCAGAGGTAATCAGAATGATTTCCAGCTATTTTTGAACAACAATTACCAGTATCCATGCTAGTCTTAAAGGGACTTTCTGTGCACCATGACCACTACAGTTTATTGTGGTAGTAATAAAATTAATCTTTGAGTGCCTGCCCTTTGAATTCTCCAATTTGACAAGTAATGGTGTGCATGATAGTGGTTATTATATTTCAAGGTATGATTTTACAAACCACAAGCCATCATTGGTGATATGCTCTGTTAACAGATTTTTCAGTGCTGTGGGGTGGAGGAAATGTCTGTTTTTAAAATGCGGCTAATCCCCATTCACATTTTTTTATTACTGTCTTTACTTGTAGGTTGCCAGTCGTAGAGTCATCCAGTATGGTGCGGCATTCATGTTACTACTTGGAATGATTGGGAAGTTCAGTGCACTGTTTGCTTCTCTGCCCGATCCAGTTCTCGGAGCCCTATTTTGTACTTTGTTTGGTAAGCTTGCACTAATACAGAAACATTATGGTGTCACTTGGGATGATCTTGCTTGACTATATTCCCCTGCTAACGCAATAATGAGCCCACCACTCATCTAAAAGGTAACATGACTGCAATATGAGCCAGCAAAATGGTCTAATTATAGGCTTCTGTGTTAGAAGTCTTCGATTGGAATGCGCACAGCTCCTATGACATCAGAGGCAGATCAGCATTGCTTTTTTAAGAATAGATTAGCATACAGCAGCAATTAATCTGCTGATTTGAACACCTGTGTGTGTGCGCGTGCTATTGTTTTGGGCATATTCTTATAGTATGTCCAAACTAGATTTAATATTGGGAAATATTGTAAGTTTTCAAATAAGTTTTCCCTCTCTTCCCACATCCCCCTCCTCTCCACATACTGCTTTGCCTCAGAGTTATTTTTTCCAACTTGACTATTATGGCCTAGAATTTGCTACAGTATGGTCTCTCCCTGAAAATTCTTTGTGTGTGTGTGTGTGTGTGCTGCTCAGCCTGATTTGGGCCTCGTTTTTCATTTTTACCGCTTTATGTGTCTATTTCTTTACTATCAAAATCTACTGGGTGTAGTGACCCCTAGCGAATATTCATGGGCATTACACCTTTAAATATATTTTATTTTACTTGTTTTGCTATCTGAATAGCACAATCATTTGTGATATGAATGAAATCTGTGATCATGACTAATTATCCCTAATTGACTAGTAAGGGGAATACAGAAAAGGAACTATTAGACATTATACTTTTCCCTGTGTGAACTATTTTTATGGATTTGTATATCCAGTACTCTAGATTCATTAACTATGTTAGGAGATTTTCTTGTTATTTTTTTTAAGCTTATATTTAAATTGATGGTGGTGGATGCTTTTTTTAATTATATTAATTTAAGGTTATATTTTTAAATAATTGGTGTCTTTCCACATTTTCTGCATTTTGGTATTTCTGATTGACGAGCTGAAACCCCTTGATTGTGTGGGCAAACGTCTAGGTACTCTACCACAGTTTGTAGTGCTCATGTTTGAATAAGTCCATGCCAAGTAGCGGAGCCAGTGTGAGTGTAGTGCAGACCCTGTACTCTCAAAGGTTTGATGTTTGTCTGGAAAAGTTTTTCCTTTCTAGTGACTGACTATTAATCTGTTTCTAGGCATGATCACCGCTGTGGGTCTCTCCAATCTTCAGTTTGTTGATCTGAACTCTTCTCGGAACCTTTTCGTCTTGGGCTTCTCCATTTTCTTTGGTCTTATGCTTCCAAGTTATTTAAAGGAAAATCCTCTAGTTACAGGTAAGCACCCAGGGTAGTATTTGCCAATACTGCAACTAAGGTATTTGGCATTTAGGCTTTCTATTTTCCAAATTCTCACCTATTAATTACATTGTTGCATCATCTACTTTTTCTCCCCTTGTGCAACATTTTAATGTCAGAATTCAGTGGACCTGCATGCAGACCCCAGATATCACATCTCTTGCATATTTTGTTCTTGTAAAATTGTTTGATTTCTCTCTTTTAGGCATTGCAGAGATCGATCAAGTGTTAAATGTGCTTTTGACAACAGCAATGTTTGTTGGAGGGTGTGTTGCTTTCATTTTGGATAACACTATTCCAGGTGAGCCAAGGAGGACCTATACATGTTACCTAGAGAGAAACACTAAAACCTGCTTTTGCAGTGTAATACACATTGGTTGCTGATCATACTACTTAACTGAATGGTAGTGTTCTGCAATAAACTATACAATGTATCAGGAGATACTCAAAGTAACACAATATATACTACTTGCATATGTGTTTAAACTTACACTTCCTCAATTGCACAGTGTGTTTAATTTAGAATAGCTTATCTATTGCTCTGTTAATAGCGTGCTAGAGCCCACAGTAGCATTATGTGTGATTAAGGTTCAATTTACAGAGCAGGAGAAAAGAACTTATAAAGTAAACACACTGTACTGTAAGATCTGACTGAAAATAAAACAATTTTCTTAAATGGAGGCTGTGTGAGCCACAGCCAGGAGAGGACTGCTAAAACGGAAACAAAAGTGTTCTAACTTCTAAATTACAGAGAATTGAGAGTTAGACTACAGTAGCATGATATATACACCAAAACTGCTTAATTAAGCTAAACTTGTTTTGATACCAGAGTATGTCTTTAAAATAAATTAAAATCACATAGTGCTATGTGTCAGTTATTCTCTTTTTACTGACCGTGCCATTAGTGTTAAGGAGAAAGCATAGCTTCTGTTTGTCCTGTATTCAAGCGATTTTTACAAAAATTACTGCAGATATAAATAACAGGTTCAATGCAAGTATACAAGAAACAAATAGATACTTATGGTGCTTGGAGATTTTCTTTAATAATTTAAAGACTGTGCCGGGGGAATGGAACATCCATAAAAGTTCTTTAATTGACTTTTACAGAATTTTAAGTTTAATTTTTATTCTGTACTAATCCATTGTTGCAAAAATTCTTGCCATTATTAGGGACACCTGAGGAACGGGGCATTCGTAAATGGAAACGTGGGCTGAGCAAAGGAGGCTCTGCCATAGAAGGAATGGAGTCCTATGACTTGCCGTTTGTGATGAACTTTCTCCGGAGATACAAATGTTTTAGCTACCTTCCCATCAGCCCCACATTTGCTGGATATCAGTGGAAATCTTTCCGAAGGGGTAGTAAGACCCGGAGAGCAGAAATAGAAACTGAACCTACCGTATAGCCCTGGCCTTCCGTCCCCCATTACCATTCATAACTTATCTTATCGTACAGTTACCAGTCGTTACAATTTCTTGCCGAGTTTACCAAGCCTTGAACCAGACGAGTTTTTAGCATTTTTGTTTCTGTATTTGAATAGAACAATTCTAGGGCTGAGACCCAGGGTGCATTAGGGGCTTTAAATCCCTTATACCAATTTAATATTGTGCCATATATGCAGTGATTCAATCTTTGTTTGTTTTTTAAATAATCTTGCTCTATTTTCCCAAAAACTCTTCTCTGTACAATTTTTACAAACATTTGGCCCTCTTTCTCTTTAATCTATTTGTGCTTTGCTCTGCATGGCAGACCCTTTTGGTATATAAATGGTTAATTCAACACTGGCTGGTTAAACGGGTATTGGTGCCAATCAGTTAGGCACACTTTGGTTGTTCCCCTCTGTCTCAGCTCAAGAATATATGTTTGTTTGTTTTTTGTTTGTTTTTTTGTCACCTATTCTACCAATCTTCTCTTGAGGTGGGCCACCATTCTTTAAAACAATACTTTATCCCTGTATTCCATCAAGTTTTTAGTTTAAAAAAACTGGATGCAATCGGTTTTCTCATGAGAAAGTTTTATGGCCAGTAGATGTACTTTGTCATCCTGGTTTGCACCTTAGCCATCAGCCATACATACAGATGATTCATGATGTGTATATAGATTTAGTTGATGGAATATCTAATATCCACCAACTCTTTGCACATTGCTCATATGACTTAAAAAGGAAAAGTCAATTTTCACTGCACTGATCTGTGTTTAGGCTTGTGATTTATTTTTTCCCATATTACCCTTTTATAACTTCTCTTAATATTTCTGAATGTATTGTATGGTTAATTGTGGGTTTTCCATGCATTGATTCTGCTACCGTAAGCAATAGTTTTAGTATAATTATCCACATAGGTCACAGTAAAAAAGAAATCTATTTAATTACACAATTCTACATTTCAAAATGCATGATCAGTTATGAATTGGATAACACTTATTAGGCCATCTAACGAATAACTGTCAACAACGTTACACAACTCAGGACAAGATGCTGGGGAACCTACCGAGTTACCAGTGTGGCTTATTTATTCTGATGTTTCCTTGCCAGATCACCACAAATCACCGTATATTGAATGAAACCTATATATTTTAAGGACCCACTCTTTTTCCTTCTCTTCATGAGTCATTAAAACCTGTTAAGAAAAACATCCAATCCACTTAATCAGGAATCCATCAGATGCAGTGAAGACTTAACTTGTGAGCTGTGTGCAAAGCAAATAAGTGGGAAGCAGAGCCCATGTTGTTTTTTTTTGGTATTGCCAATAACTTAGCACGGTTGACAATTTTCAGAGGTGCAAGTTCCTCTGACATTGCTGTTAAAGCCGTGCTGATTCCATGAGTGAGAATGATGGACGAAAAATGCTTTATGTACTTATATATATTTTTGTCACAGTGATACTTTGGGTTTACACATTTCTCAGTATTTTCATAGATGTTTTACATAGCATTCATCAACTCCTCTGTTCTGTAATCCAAGCAGCAGGCGTTGAGGGAGAAACCTAATAATCTCATGACCGTGTCATGTGACTAATTCTCCTGTGTACGTATGTATATAGAAATAAAATTATACATATGTTTGTATGGGTGAGTAGTCTGCGTGTATACATTTAACTAATCCTGTAATGTTCCTTTTGTGGAAAGCCTTAAGTAGGCAAAAAATCCTCACTTTTTGAGGCAAATTGCCTTGTAAGGTTATCTCATATCCTGTTGTAAAGGCACTTATTTATATTGAGGGTTGATATACTAGTATAAATATTTTCTGTGGCTTCGGAATCTAATTCTCAATAGGCAGAAGACTTTGTTCATTGGTGTCTCGTTGCCACATAAATGATAACATTGTATGAAACGGTAAGAAAGCAACTTTAAATATGTCAGCCAGAATTACCAAGCATGAAAAGAACACTCCAACTCATTGTAACCAAAAATGGACTCCCACTCTATTTTGGTACAAAAGTTGGCCGGTTGACGAGTTGGTTGTCGGTTAACAGAATAAATGTCACTTGGGAAAGTGATGCAAATTTTTAATTCTAGCTGTAAGGAATGCATACACAATGTGTTGCCATTTTCTTTCCCTTCCTTGTAGTTTTGTAGGTTTAATCAGTAAATTAGATCTTTTTAGGCTATTCTGTTTTATCCTACAACTATGTTTACCACTTGGACCCATTCATTGGACTTGGACTTAATTTAATATTCCAATCTGTTTGTCCATCCATTGCTTTGTACAAGCCTGCCCATTATTCGTCTGCTGGCATTTTTCACCACTGACTTCTGCTATGCCTTAATATACTTCTAAGATTATGACTTCCTCCAAATTTATGCAATTAAAGGAATAGTTATGTGCATTAACACTCACCCGTGAAGGTTGCAGAAAAGGATTTGTAGGTGTTATTGCAGTTTCAAGTGAGGCTTGTTGTTTCAAGATTGAGACATTGACCAAATGGAGAAAATGTATAGACTCTGAGCGATTCTATTCACTAGGACCATATTTTCCAAATCGGTTCCCTTTATTCATGTTTTCACTATCTCACCCTTTAAAAAATAAAAGTAAAAATTAAGACGTTCTATAGATCCCCACCCTTCCAAATCACTTTTTCCATTCTGAAATGTTACTTCTTAATATGCCTTTTAGATAGTGATACATGTCAACATTCCTTACAGCTAGAATTGACATGATTTATGTAATGCTTTGCGGTCTGAGGAATAATGCCACCTGACCATATATAATTACAATGACATACGCACAATTTGGTCTATGTGGCAGCCTTTTTCAAGACTCAAATTGTAGTGCATACAGTGTATAATTTTGTATCTGTGACCTCCCACCTGCCAAGATCGCTGTATTATGTAGTCTGTTTTCGGACCCTATAATATAAAGTGGTATGTTCACTAAGCCGTGAATCAACAGCCAATTTGCAAAATGTAAGCCAAAATTTAAAACTATTCTAAGCTCAGCTGCTAGAGCCCAAATGTTGCAAATTGGTTTACAATAACTGTTTAGTGTACAAACCCCAAAAGTGTAGAACTCTTAAGACAGTATTACAAGTAGAGAGACACTGTGTATATAAAGCTCCGTATTCCGTCAAAACAGCGGTTTCTACCTTCATTCGCTCAAATCCATAGCATTTGCGAAGAGAGATGCTGTAAAGTGTTTTGTTACATCATTACAGCCTTCCTGATTTGTGGTGTTTACTGATAATGTGATGTCTGGGCATGGCTACAATTTTAATAACACGACAGTGTCCAGCCTTTTCCATTATGTGTCTAGTGAACGCATTGAAAACACTACCTTTTTGCACCAGCAATACTTATACTTCTAGAGCCCACCACCTGTGAGGTGGACCACCGTTTTTTATTTTCCCCATATGACCTTTTTGGTTACCTAAGAAGGAGACTCAATGCTGAAATCTTGGAGACGGAGCCTTTATGACCATTTCATAACATTCCCTTGATTATTTGTATTTTATGTCATTTATAAGCATTTAAATTCTGACAAACAATCACTACTATAATGTTTTGCTTTCTGCTGATGTATCTAGTTTGAAAAAAACAAATAATCCTTTAAATTATATTGTGTTAAAAAGTAAATTATCTTCACTCAATGAAGGCTATATCTGTATGTTTAGCTCATGTAATTGTTGGAAGGAATTTGTTAATAATTATACTTCCAGCAGTTAATGAGTCTATGGGTGGATCATTATTTTTTTTTTTCTATAAATTAATTTACATTTTTTTTTCCCTTGGGGGAGGGGGTTAGTAATTTGTTGTTTTTTAATTTTATTTTTTTTAAACACATTTTCATATTTAGTTTTGTGTTGTTTTTTTTCTTTTTCTAACATGGCTTTCATTTATCGTTGAGTAATATTTAAGAAAGATATGTAATATTGGACCAGATGTTGTGAATAATAGTAGAAAACAAGAGCTATTTTATTCTGTATTTTTAAAGCTGTTAAATATAAATAATAAAAAGAATATACCTGCAGAGTTTATATGTCTACGATTTCTCATTTCTGCAGTGATGTATCATAATATATTCTTGTCTCCTCCCAACAACCGTTCTTTAACTGAACTCATTTAAAGAAACCAATCCAAAAGAACACAAAGCTGAAACATATGGACTCTGCTTACGCTTCATAAAACAAAAGCATTTATTTTGGCACTTTCATAGGTTTCAGGCAAGATGTATTATAAATCCATTCATGTGACTCCTACATATTTATATAGGATTTATATGTGAAATCTACTGATTTTAAACCAGACCATAAATGGTAGTGAATAGACTTGTGCATGGCAAAAGAAAAATTGGTTTATTGGCCATTGTACTGAGTACTGTAAAATATTTATACATTGTATAATGTATTTTTAAATTACACGAATAACTGCATTTTCTCCACATTTGATTCACAGATCAAGGGTACACCTGTTTATTAAGTATAGATTTCTAATTTTATTTTTACCGAAATAATCTTCATCCATTGACTGTTTTATCCCATGATTTGTCAATATGGCAATCCGGAATTTGTAATTTCAGATAAATTGCCGATTGCCCCAAATTCCGACAAATGACAATTCGTTTGAAACCGAATGCACAAGTCTAGCAATGGTGATTTTTTTTTTTTTTCTCCTTGCAATATGTGCCCTTGCTGTGAGTGAATTAAACCAGTTTATTGCAATCACTTGCTAAATATTTAATATGAATTTGAAATAAAATGGAGCATTATTGAGGAAAACGGTTAACACAAGTTATTAATATCACAGGGTTAAATAAAAATAAATAATTTGTTCACCTGATACAATCAAGCTAATACTCCAAAATTAACAATAAAACTATAAATACCATAAGGTGTACAAAAAGATTCATACCGTATGGTGATCATCAGAAACAGCAACCCGTATACTCAACACTTGAGGACAGGGAGTGCT